GAGAGGCCTTTAGCAAGAGGAGTCCTACTGGGGTCAAGTCTTGGACCGATCTTATGGCTACTTATAGCGAACACTCTCTTAAATATGAAAAGGGAATCTAATGAGCAATTAATTGCATACGCTGATGACTTCCTATTACTTCTCAACGTAGCATTTCTTGATAGACTTGGATCCCAAGTCTAAGAGATTTTGACCAAATTTGAAAGTTGGGCAGCGTCGCACAATCTCCCATTCAGTACCCAAGTACCAAGTATTTCCCAAGGTCAAACGGGTCTCAAGACGACCAACTATAAAACTCTGTGGAGTTAACATTGCAACGAGGGAAATCATTCATTATCTGGGATTTAGATTGCATTATCAGCTTTCCTGGTTTGCCCCACCTTGACTTTATCTTTAGCAAAGTTACTAAATTTCAAGCTAAAGTAAATAGAATCTCTGGGGTTGACTGGGGAATTGGATTTGATGTTCATCTACCTAAACAGCACTCAGAAACTTATCTTCTATGAAGGGGCAATTTAGGTTTTCCCAACAGGTAGGAATCATTGATAGATTGAAAAAAATTGAAAGAGCTTCTTTACTATCTATCACTGAAGCATACAAGACTACATCTACTGACGCTCTCCAAGTACTTACTGGGACAATCCCTCTAGACATGGCCGTAAACGTAGAAGCTGAACTTAATATTTTTCAACATGAAGAAGAACACATAATCTATAAAAATTACCTACATCTTATATTTGCCATCGGGCTGAAGAAGTTTTACTTAAATATCAACTACATTTACCTACTCATAAAGGACTAGAATTATTCACAGATGGATCGAAACTTTTAGTTAACAATGAATTTAAGACAGGATGCACTTTCGTGGTCTATCAGGAGGGAGAACCTGTTGAAAGAAAATCCTTTCGCATCTCTGATCACGTTTCCGTGTTTAAGGCTGAATTATGGGCTATTTTCCAGTCAATTCGTTGGATTAAAGAGCAAAGAATTACAGATAAAACTCAATTTATACCGATTCCCTGTCTAGTCTTCAAGCTTTGGAAAACAGCAACTCTAAAGAGTATTTAAAATACTGTAGTAAAGTACTGTTGTGCCAGCTGTAATTATATTCTGAAATACAAATATCTTATATTTAACCATGTGAAATTGTTTCCTTTTATTAACTTTGAAAACCCTACCGAAGATGCGACATCTCTTCTGATTGATACTGTTTATTTTCTTTCTAAGTTTGTCTGTATTTAGTTCATTTCTAAGTAACGCTATTTTCTGGATTTTATATTTAATATTTTACCTATTTGTTAAAACTCTAATTTGAAAATTTTGAATATGTTTGCTTATGTGATTGAACTGTTGCGCGCACTTCGAGCTTTCGGAGTGTCTCCGGATGCCCCCTTCGGGGGCGGGCGGGGTTAAGCTTGTTATTAGTAGTCGTAAATCCAAAAAATTGGGTCCGCTGTTCAACGACGGTTATAAAATAAAATAAAATAAAATAAAATAAAATAAAATAAAATAAAATAAAATAAAATTCGCGCATGCGCAATGGTAATTTCCCCTCAGAAACAACTTGACAATACTATATTTCGTTCACCAGGAGTATAGGCACTTGACTCCACCTTCATCACGAGGTATCCGACTATACTATTTCACTATTTTTGGGAGAAGGATGTGAACAATCTTGAACAAGGTTGCTATTTGGCGATCGTATGGCAAAAATACTTATTTGCAATCTTTATGCGAATTTTTTTAACATTGAATATTTCATAAATTTGATGATATTTCTCTCTTTTGAGTAAATAGTTTGTCTTTTTTGAGAAATTTTGCTGGGAAAGCAGAAGTTTTAAATTTAAAATATATTTCATTAGCTAGAGTAATGAAAGGCATAATAGCAGATGTGACTGAAAAATTAAGTGACTGAAAAAATTCAGTGTTGCGTTTAGCGCGTTTTAAGGTTTGTCTAAATTTTAAGAACGGAGATGTTTCTGTCCTCCCTGTCGCGCAGAAATGAACTCTGCGTCTGAGGAGGAAGAGCCAAGTTATCAACTCTTGACTACTAAGATGTAGGTGCTTCTTTAATTTGAATTCAGATGACCGCATTTTGTGTGCGTCATTCATTTGTTGAGCGGATACTTTGTGCAAGACGATTTTGATAATTTTTCATTACTTTTTTTTCTTTTCTCTCCTAAGGCACCTAACTTTTTAAAAAAAAATCAGTGTAGGGTGTACCGAGCAGTGGCCTTTGGCCTTAAGAAAATCATTGTTGGGTACACCGGGCAAATGTATGCCTACGGGATTAGACTGTGAGTGAAGAACAAAAGTATGCCGTACCCTTAGGATAAAATGATCCAAACACTCAGTTGAAAGCATGTTCATAAAAGGAGTTCCTAGTTCACACTGAACTTCTCTGGGAAACCAGTTGTACAAAAAGTATTAAGTGAGGCATCCGTCCCCCATACAGATCCTACATCATTTACTGGGATGGCCTCTAAGTATTTTGACGGCATACAAGGGCAGTGATCAAGTATTTCTTTCTATTTGGCATGGTGGGCAAAGGGCCAATTGCATCAGCGTTCAGTTTTGAAAATATTTCCTGTATAACCGGTGCAATTTTTAAAGGAGCCTTTTTCATCATTTTATCATTACCTGTTTTATTATCTACAAATTTAGATACCTTATTTACGTCACACAGGAGCTGCTCAATGGGCCATTGACGACGGTCTGGAAGCATCCTTGAGGATAATTCGAAGACTCGCAAATTTGATGGGGATGGCTCCCCTACTTTGGTAACCGGATGACCTGCCTACGAAATCGAGAACTTTACGGAAGAACAGTTTAACGAGGACCGATACCGTGCAACCTCCGTCCCTACGCAGGATGATCAAAGTGGTCACCCACCCGCTTACTGACCGTAGCCAGTGATACTTGATTTCGGTATCCTACTGTGAACCACGTATTTACGATCAGTCCACTGAGGAGCCTACAAGTTTAAAATTTGATAACTATCGGTGTATTAGCTATTGAGAAGAATACGATATCACAACTAAAAATGATGAGTAGATAAGATGCGTTAAATGTTAAGGTGCATGCACTCGCTTCATGTTAATATACCTACCCCAAAAATGGGAGTAAGTTTTTTATTAAACGTAGGATTAAATTGAAACATTAGATTTTGTTTATTAGATTCTTTTTACTTATTTTTCATGAAATTATAATAATTTATTCATGATTTACTTTATGAAATTTATTGTTTTCCTAATTTTAACTTCTCTTTTCTTTTACTGAATTGGATGGAAAACTGAGCTCGTCATTACATTATGGAGAGAGTTTTACAGACAACACTTGTAAAAAAAAATTTTTTTATCTTTTTGTTTTTACATTTTAAATATTTTTTCCTAAAGTAAATTATTCTTCAAAAATATTTAATTATACATTTCGCTACGATAGTCATATTAATTAAAAGTGCATACATGAAATAGTAATCCATAATAATAAAATGAAGAGTTTTTGCGCGTTGTCCCTCTATAATTTAACTCCACGGCCGTTTATTTTATTGTTCTTAAATTAAGGCAGGGTCTGGAAGGGTCAACGCAAGTTCACGATCCTTAAATTTGCTCGAAATTTTCAATTAGATCGTTTGAGGGAGCTATTAAAAGTGGAATTTTCTCATCGGTTAAGCGATAGCCATTGTTTTTTATTAAACTGTAGACTATTCCACTTTATTTAAATATTTTAAAGATCACATCAGTGTTGTTTGTTATCTTATAGCCCTATTTAATCAAAATTAAAAGAGTTTACCGCATGTACTTTTTTATTTTTAGTTGTTGTGTCAGATAATTTCCTTGATTACATTTACAGTAGCAGCCTGGGCTAAGTATTTCAAAAGTTATCTCAAAATTCGTTTTAATTTGTTTTTTGAAAATTCTTTCAAAATATGTATCAGAGAGTCAGAGGCTGTGCTACATCATTGAGTGGAATAAACCAATCCACTGTCTTAATTTTGTGATAGTGAATAATAACTAGCCATTTGCACTATTCCTGTTAGACGATGCCTATTTCCATCCTACTGGAAATGCATTCCTATTGGTTGCTATCCAGCGAATTGATCATTGATGGATTATCAGTGGGCAAATAAGTGAAGTCAGCTTAGACATCTCTATAAAATTGAACTATTTAAAATATGTGATAATCAAAATGAAAAAAAATGTGTTTGTATTAAATGGTAATATTAACGAAAAGGTGGCACTAATTTGTTTGGAAAAAAGAAAAAATTAAATCTCCGTACTATTATTCACACTAATAGGGCTCATTAAATTAAGGTAATAGTTGCATATTTAAATACAATTGTAAGCTATGTACAAAAGCAAAATTAATAAAGTAACTTATTCGTCTAGAGGAACTTTAAAAAATTACCACTCTAATATTGATTCCAATATTGCGTAGTTATATTGGTATCAATATTGAAATGGTAACAAGTAAAAGCACTTCTCTTTTATTTCTTCTTATTGTGTCACACATTTTGTTTTCTTTTATTTTCATGTGTAATTGCAGTTGATTATTTTTTCAAATTCTGGTAATCGTTTAATTCGTTGCAATTAATATATTAACAAAATTTGCTTACATGAAATTGTAATAATTGAAATAAATTCTAGAAATAACTGAATGAATTGTAAAAAGATTAAAATTGGTTTATAATAATTAAATAGTTTATAAACAAAATGATTTTTGTGTTTTTTCTTTCTCTTTTTTCTCGAAAATATCATTTTATATAAAAAAAATAATGAAAGAGCGTATATAATAGGATATTTTAATATAGTTACAGGATTCCTCTTGAAGTTGTAGGATTCCTATAGGAGTTATAAGATTCCTCCTGGTATATATTTTTTAAATGTATGAGTGCTCTCGAAATTAATTAAATTTCAAAGTAAATTGCTGTGATTATCTGAAGTATTCACAAAAGTTTGATTCTGTTTTTAAAGTTAGTTTGAAAGATCATGAACACCATATGCTTCTAAAAAACATTTATTGATCATATATAAATTTCTGATAATTTAGAAATACAACATTTTTTGACAATATATATACATCATACTTCACCAGACATTAAAGCAGGTTAACCTGAAAAATATTTGAGTTATTATAATTTTAATAGTTATAAAAAAAATAAAGCTGTGATAAAACTACAGTTTACATATTAATTCCATTATTAAGCCTTTTTTAGCACAAAAAAAATTATATTATATTACATTACATTANTTTTAGAAAAAAACATAGGTGAATGCAAAACATATAGAGTATATTGAAAACCATGTGCTTTCTTATTCTTATTACTTTACTGTTTTCAAAACAGTTTTAGGGGAAAATATATATATATATTTATTTCTCTTACACGGAGACCAAAAAAAGCCACATTACAGCTCCCTGAATGGCAACGCTAGAAAATCGACCAATGATTGCCCCTAAAAATGTCACATGTGAAATCTAGCTGAGGTGGTTCAACATATAGCTCTTCTAAAAACGGAAACTGATATAACCGGAGAGAGCATCCTCACCAAATGTGATCACTTCCTAAATTCATACTATCAGCTGCGGCAATCTCATACTATTAAGCTAGGAAGAAGTGAGTAGTCGTTGTCGATAGATCTCTATTTTAGTATTTTGTCGAAAATGCTTTTTTTTCACGAATTTATATATTACGAATTTATTTTTCCATTTTTGATTTATGTCATGAATTTTTTTTTTAATTATTGTTATTAGTTATTAATTATTAATATAAAAATGAATCTCAGTCGTGCGGTTACGCTTTTGAAGTACAATCGAAAGAAGAGGGGCTCATAGATTGGAAGAGAGCATTGATAACAGCTATGAAAGACGTAGTGGTGAAAGAATGCGCAGACGACGTGCTGCTATTCAAGATTTAACTGTTGATGTTGTCGAACACAACCGAAATTTGTAGTTTTTGTGCTGCTCACTTCTGGGCGGAAGAAGAAAATTCCTCTGGGAAATATAACAAATGCTGAGATGATGGAAAAATCTATAGCCAAAATTTTAACCTTTTCAAAGAGATATAAGTTTTAGAAATTTTATACTATAGCGCATTTCTAATAGGTTTAATGAATTTACATTTATTTGGCATTTGGAATTTACATTACATTGAATTTACATTTACAATCATTTACATTTATTTACATTTATTTACATTTATTTGAATTTATTTATTTATTTACATGTCATTTATTTGAAATCAAATTTATTTCAATGACTTAGCATTTACTAAAAAGATGTAATTTTTTAAAAAAAAATTTGTTAGATGGATTTGAATGATTGTTTTGAATTCTTAGAATTTTGTGCATTTGCAATGTACCTAAGTTAGTAGCGAGCGAAGTGAACTTGGTTTACGAAGCAAACCATATAAAATTGCGTAGCAATTTTCGGGGATTGGCGAGCGCTAGCGAGCAGGGGGCGCAGCCCACTAGTATTATCTATCTATATAAAATGAATGTCAGTCTGTGTGTCCTTAATAGACTCCTAAACCATCGAACCGAAAGTTATGAAATTTGGCAAGCACGAGGAAGTTCACAGTTGACAATAGAACACTACGACAAATCGTTCTAATAGGATGAGAGAAAAACGAAATGGAATTTTCTGATTGGTTAAGCGTTAGATTTTGGTTTATATTTAACGATTAATTTTCACATATTTTAAAGATACATCATTGATAATTGCTAGCTTATAGCTCTATTTGATCAAAAAATAGTTTATTGCACGTATTTAAATATTTAATTATTTTACATTTGCTATGTCAGATGAATTTAATGAACATTACGTGGTAGCACGCGTGGTTTATGTCAACAAATTTAAACTTTGTCTGATACTACGTGTTTTTATTTTATTTATATTAATTCTTTTAAACCTGTTTCTAAAGAATTACTTATTTGAAACCAACGATAATTGAATAGAAACAAAATATTTATGCAATCAAAATCAAAAATTAATTTGAAAGTGGTATTAAATCGTTTAGGACAAATATAAGAAATTGGAGCCAATGAGGCTTAATTACGCCAACCATGATTAATTAATTAAGGTAATATATGCATATTGAAATAAAATAATAAGCAATATACTAGAAAGCAAAATAAAAAGAGTAAAGGTATTTATTTGTCTAGATCTAGAAGAACCGTAAGAAATCGTCATATTATCATTGACGACAATGATGTTTAATTAATATATATTGATTGTAATATATATTGATTGAAATAAAATAAAGTAACTTCTGAACTAAAAAGCAAAAATAAGTAGAAAAGATACTTATTCGCGTTTTGGGTAACCGTTAAAAAATCTGCATATTATTATTGACACTAATGCTAAATTAATATTGATAATGAGTATTAATTGACATAAAGTAAAATAAGCTATGTGGAAAAAAGCCTAGCTCATGGAAGAAAGATTAATTGGAAATTCGCTTAAGAAAAGTGCAGAAAATCGCCATTCACAGATGTCACTTAATTCATATGTATCACTGACGGTAATATGTACTACTGGTATAATGGGAATTGGCGAATTGGTTTTGATAACATTTCAACAACGGGTTTTCCGTAGTTTCAGAAAATATTTTTTCCAGTGGTAGCCAAGATAGCGTATTAATATTTTAAAGAATCATAACTAAAAGAAATTTTTTCCACCACTACTTATAAATATTTTAACAGTAAGTTAGAGGTCAGATAGAGAAATGGCCATGCTCCAAAATCTTTATGAAGTTCCAGTATATATATTTTTTTAAAACTTTGGTTTTAGTTGGCTGATACTGACAAATATGTATAAACTCAAATGTTGAAGGGTTATGCAATAAGTACCAAATATATTTAGGTATAAAATATTGCATTGATATATTTGGTGATAATATATTTGATTCGCTTAATTTAGGTAATATATACATATTAGGAGGCTTCGCCCCCTGCTCGCTTTGCATTGGATACATTCTTAACGTCTAGCTTTAGTATACTTTTTTGAACACTGAAGTTTCGAAAACTTTTCACTGTAGAAAATTCTAAACCTGTGCATTNATATTATATTATATTATATTATATTATATTATATTATATTATATTATATTATATTATATTATATTATATTATATTATATTATATTATATTATATTATATTATATTATATTATATTATATTATATTATATTATATTATATTATATTATATTATATTATATTATATTATATTATATTATATTATATTATATTATATTATATTATATTATATTATATTATATTATATTATATTATATTATATTATATTATATTATATTATATTATATTATATTATATTATATTATATTATATTATATTATATTATATTATATTATATTATATTATATTATATTATATTATATTATATTATATTATATTATATTATATTATATTATATTATATTATATTATATTATATTATATTATATTATATTATATTATATTATATTATATTATATTATATTATATTATATTATATTATATTATATTATATTATATTATATTATATTATATTATATTATATTATATTATATTATATTATATTATATTATATTATATTATATTATATTATATTATATTATATTATATTATATTATATTATATTATATTATATTATATTATATTATATTATATTATATTATATTATATTATATTATATTATATTATATTATATTATATTATATTATATTATATTATATTATATTATATTATATTATATTATATTATATTATATTATATTATATTATATTATATTATATTATATTATATTATATTATATTATATTATATTATATTATATTATATTATATTATATTATATTATATTATATTATATTATATTATATTATATTATATTATATTATATTATATTATATTATATTATATTATATTATATTATATTATATTATATTATATTATATTATATTATATTATATTATATTATATTATATTATATTATATTATATTATATTATATTATATTATATTATATTATATTATATTATATTATATTATATTATATTATATTATATTATATTATATTATATTATATTATATTATATTATATTATATTATATTATATTATATTATATTATATTATATTATATTATATTATATTATATTATATTATATTATATTATATTATATTATATTATATTATATTATATTATATTATATTATATTATATTATATTATATTATATTATATTATATTATATTATATTATATTATATTATATTATATTATATTATATTATATTATATTATATTATATTATATTATATTATATTATATTATATTATATTATATTATATTATATTATATTATATTATATTATATTATATTATATTATATTATATTATATTATATTATATTATATTATATTATATTATATTATATTATATTATATTATATTATATTATATTATATTATATTATATTATATTATATTATATTATATTATATTATATTATATTATATTATATTATATTATATTATATTATATTATATTATATTATATTATATTATATTATATTATATTATATTATATTATATTATATTATATTATATTATATTATATTATATTATATTATATTATATTATATTATATTATATTATATTATATTATATTATATTATATTATATTATATTATATTATATTATATTATATTATATTATATTATATTATATTATATTATATTATATTATATTATATTATATTATATTATATTATATTATATTATATTATATTATATTATATTATATTATATTATATTATATTATATTATATTATATTATATTATATTATATTATATTATATTATATTATATTATATTATATTATATTATATTATATTATATTATATTATATTATATTATATTATATTATATTATATTATATTATATTATATTATATTATATTATATTATATTATATTATATTATATTATATTATATTATATTATATTATATTATATTATATTATATTATATTATATTATATTATATTATATTATATTATATTATATTATATTATATTATATTATATTATATTATATTATATTATATTATATTATATTATATTATATTATATTATATTATATTATATTATATTATATTATATTATATTATATTATATTATATTATATTATATTATATTATATTATATTATATTATATTATATTATATTATATTATATTATATTATATTATATTATATTATATTATATTATATTATATTATATTATATTATATTATATTATATTATATTATATTATATTATATTATATTATATTATATTATATTATATTATATTATATTATATTATATTATATTATATTATATTATATTATATTATATTATATTATATTATATTATATTATATTATATTATATTATATTATATTATATTATATTATATTATATTATATTATATTATATTATATTATATTATATTATATTATATTATATTATATTATATTATATTATATTATATTATATTATATTATATTATATTATATTATATTATATTATATTATATTATATTATATTATATTATATTATATTATATTATATTATATTATATTATATTATATTATATTATATTATATTATATTATATTATATTATATTATATTATATTATATTATATTATATTATATTATATTATATTATATTATATTATATTATATTATATTATATTATATTATATTATATTATATTATATTATATTATATTATATTATATTATATTATATTATATTATATTATATTATATTATATTATATTATATTATATTATATTATATTATATTATATTATATTATATTATATTATATTATATTATATTATATTATATTATATTATATTATATTATATTATATTACATTATACTACATTGCATTGCATTGCATTGCATAACATTACATTACATTATATTATATTATATTATATTATGTTATATTATATTATATTACAATCGTATTATATTGCAATTATATCATATTTCAATCACATATGTATTTAAAAATAAAGATTTCATACAATGCTTTCATTTTTTAGAATAGTTGTCATACATTTTTTCGATCAACAACTAATATTATGTGTATTGAAGTAGAATTATAATCTTGGTAATAAATTAATAACTGTTTTTACAAAAGCATGGATTCCAAGCTAATACATTGCTAAGTGTTTGACTTTTTATTAACACTACTCGTATTAATAATGAAATTTTTAAAAAAAACTGAACTATAATAAAACTATGAAGCAAAAATACATTTACCTAGCTGAAGAGTTTAATTTGTCCGAATTCTTCTTTCCCACTGACGACCTCCTTGGCTTCCTGTTCCTCCATTTTGGGCCCTAGCATTAGCATTAGCACTTCCTCCGCTTTCACTACCTCCTGTGAAATATTGCCTTTGAAATCCTCCTCCGCCTCTGTTACCTCCTGTAAAATATTGGTTACCATATCCCTCTTGGCCTCCTGCTCCTCCATTTTGGGCCCTAGCATTAGCATTAGCACTTCCTCCGCTTTCACTACCTCCTGTATAATATCGCCTTTGAACTACTCTACGTCTGTTACCTCCTGTAACATATTGGTTACCATATCCCTCTTGTCCTCCTGCTGCCCCATTTCCAACCTGAGCACCATCATATCTTCTGTTATAAATTACTGTTCCTCCATTTTCGGCCCTAGCATAAGCAGTCCCACTTGCTCCACCACCCCTACTTCCTGCATAATGGTTTTGACCTTCATCTCCTCCGTAATTTTTTTCTGCTCCTCCGTAATTTTTTTCCGCTTCTCCGTTTCCTCCTCCTGCTCCTCCGTAATTTTTTTCCGCTCCTCCATCTTTTGCTCCTGCTCCTCCATTTTCTCCTCCTGCTTCTTCATCTTTTCCTCCATTTCCTCCATCTAATCCTCCAGGTGTTTCATCGTCTCCTCCATCTTCTCCTCCATTTCCTTTCCCTATTCCGTTAACTGAAATGAAAAGCAAATGCAGGTTAACTTAATACACAGAAAGAGAGGGTACGCGCATCCTAAAGATTAAAAATTACGTATTGATCATTTAATTTAGATGAGTAAAAGAACTGCCAGAATTACGCAATAAGTCATTAGGAATAATGCCAGCTACAGCAAATAAAGGTTCAGAAACAAAATAAAAGTGAATTATTCATAATGTCCATTTATTAAACAAAAGGTAAAGAAAGATGTTGTGTGAATGACCATTCATATAAATTACTATTTTTGGACCATTGATCAATTTTAAAAATTATCTCCTTTACAAAATGCGTAATATTAGATGGTTGGTATGATGGTTAATACTCAGAAACTTTATTAAATCTCAACTGCTTATCTTCTCAACCATAACTCATACGTAGTTTTAAATTTTAGTATGTTACTGTATGTTGGTTTCATTTTCCATTTTTAATGCATAAAACTCCAGTAGGCGAATGGAATGCATATACACATACTGTACGCGAAGAAATAGATTGACTAACCTAAATAACTTTTAATCTAATTTTGAGATCTTCGCGTTCTTGAACTCAATCCTGTTGGTTCGAGAGGCTGAATTCTATTTCGCTAAACAATTAGAATTTACGATAGTTTATGTAACGGAATCAATAACAAAAACTTACTTTCTCGGAAAATGCATACCTTTTTTTTCCGACGGATACGGATCTCTCACCCCCAAAATATTGGAGGTAGCCGCAAATTGGTCGCATCAGTTTGACACAGAAGAATTTTCTAAAATTTGGACACTTCTATGTTAATTTTGAAGCAGTTGTTTACTTCGAAAATATCGTGTACTTAGAATTTGATTTCTCTGGAACTATTTCGCCAATTTTTTTTAAAACTCGTATTTTGCCATGGAGAATAGCATTCTTCAAAATAATGTAAAAATTGTTATACCATCAAATTGGAAATTTTTTCGACTGCTGTTAAAAGAAATAATAAAATATAATAAATATTTACTAAATTTTAATTTTGTCATGGAATTATCTTTAGATAAAGGATTTTTATAATTGTATGCAAAGATATTTTATTTTGCTTAAAAATTTCTTGAGTTAACGAAATACGCAAAATTCAAAATTAATATTAAGGATTGCAAACTTTGAACTAACCTTCTGACTACTATTGGAATCATATTTTCCAGATTTCGGCTACCCTCTATTTTTTGGGGGTGAGAGTTCTGAATCTGTCTTAAAAAAAGTATGTTAATTCAGAAAAAGTACTCTTTTTACATCTGATTTTTATAGTTTAAAGCATCGCCTGCACAAATTAACGTGTTTGAGATCACCCTCTCAAAACATATGGATAGACATATTTAAGTCCCCTCCCACAAACCATTAAGATTGAGTTTTAGTACGTGAAGGTCCAATCTTTAGATTAGAAGTTAATCAGAGTGGAGCATTTATGTTTTATTGTTTTTTTTTTTTTTTGCACACTCGCCCTGTTAGATAAAAAGTATTTCATAGGTCCATCTAAAGAAACAAAATTATACATGAATTTATCAATTAATTGGAACTTTTTGAAAAACAAATTAATTCTGTTTTAAATTGAGTAGCTAAGAGTTTTTTTCGGATCTGGATCTTATGTTACAAAATAAGGTAGTATCTCAAATTGTATTATTAGAGTCATGGTTACGGTTTTTAGTCAAAATTAAAATTTATATAATTATAGGACAGTGTTTCATATTAAGCTGAAAAGTATTATGAAGTTTTGACATTTCAGTCCTTGAAGTCATATTTAAAAAAACCACTGACTTGAAACTAAATTATAATTCTAGCAAATATGAATAAAACATAAATTAAATTAAAGAAATTAATCCTATTCATTGTTTTGTTTAGGACCCTTATAGCTAAGAAAACAAACAAGTGAACAAAAAAAAAATTCAAACTACTATAACTTCAAAAATATAAATTATTTAACAGTACAGTACTTTCAAAATTTCAATATAAAATTATTCTTTCCCTCAAAAGTCCGGAGATATGAAACAGCAAGTCATAGGATAACCAATGTCACTTTTTAGTTTATATTTACAAAATAATAAACCAAATTAATAATTCATCTAAATTATAAATTATGTAATAATCAAATAATGTAAATATAATATTTAATATTTCATCAAAATATATTTTTACGAAATTTAGGGTTTTTCTAAATTTAAACTGGCAAATCAGGTAGACACCTGAGGCAGCTTGAATATATTCATTTAAGAACTTATAGATATTAAAAAATCACTTACAGCCTCCGAACAGATTTTTCAAACCATCTAAAACAAAAAAAGTTATTTTACAAATAATTAAAATAATTCAGGAATCCTATATTTAAAAGAAAATTTGCTGACTAAGCTATTATAACTACATTTGTATATTTTTTTTTACAAATCACAGCAATGTTTGAGAAAGTATGGTTATACTTCAACAGTTTCATCAGTGTTCCATAAAAAACATTAATATAATTTAAAGTTTCCGTATTATAGTACTTTACAGCATTATTAACAAACTAATCTAAACTAAGACTTATCGATTGCAATCACAAAATATTACTAAAATTACCAAATAAAAAGTTAGTATTTACACAAATTTACATTAGCATTTCCTAGTAGGTATGCAAATATATTTAAGTTTTAAGGTCTTGCTAAGATTTAGCTCTTATTTATAGGATCAACAACTACTTTTATGTAATCCATACCGAATACTAATACTTGAAATTGTACAACTAGTTAAATTACTCTCCTGTGATGAGACTTTCAGCTAAATTAGCTGAAAAAAGACCATTAAATTAGTTAATATTTTTACAATAAAAGAACTTTCAAAAGTTTGCATTCAGAAAAGAAATCGAAATACTTGTGATTTTGCTTTCGATTTAAAATTATGGTAAGTTTCTTAATTATAAGCTGAGGTGGAAATGGTTAGTCAAAATTTCATTAGATTCTGAATATAGCCTGTTGAATCCAGCCTAATTTTCTAAACATGTAAATTGAATATAGCATAATTAAAACAATGACTATTAAATGCAGTTATAAAATATATACTAACACTTGGAATCAATAATTTTTTTACTTTTCATTTTTGCTTTTCATTATAGTTTAGCCTTTCTCATCATGTTATGTTATGACTCGAAATTTGTTGATAATGTGAACTCATTGACTCAAACATAGAACAAATACGAAGCAAAAATTAGACTTTTATTAGACTTGTGAAAGCTACTTACCACCACCACCAAAACCTTCTAGTCCTAAATCGAAAAATGATAATAATATAACAAAATAATAAATCTGAATATAGTTGTTCCTTAGTTTAACACATTTATGCATATTTTATTATTAAGCTCCAGATGAAAGTTGAAATTTATTTATGACGTCAATGCATACTTTTACGTTATCCATTTGGAATACAAAATTAATTGTTATTATGCAAATACTTACCTTTGCTTAATATTTGTAGCGTGTTTTTTGAAACATAAAAGAAACTTGGTAAACAAAAATATAGAAAAATCCCCAGTTTATTTAACTTCGTTTAAAAAAATTGAAAATTCATTTAATAAAATTTCATTAAAATGCTTAAATTTTTGATTTTGATGCATATAAGACAATTAGAAAAGTAGTTTATTTTAAACGCAATGAAAATAAGAAATCAACAGATGCGAAATAATATTAACCAAACGTATTACTTGCCATCTCTTGCCCGAAAAAACTGTTTTCTGAATATTAATTGTTTTATCCGAAACAAATTAAACATGTAATATAAAGCAAGAAACGAAAGGGAAAATGAAAGCAAACAAAGCCGAATCATGTACTAAAATAAAAAGATCTTAAAAAAATACAGTCATAATGTAAGTTTATTAATTATTTATGCCTAATGTTCGGAATAAATTTTAACTTTTGATCTAATGTTCGTATCTTCACGTTCTTGGACTGAATATTAATGATTTAAGTGGTTGAATTCCATTTTGTTAAATAATTAGAGCATACGATATTTAAGATACGAAATCAGTCCCTAAAACTTGCTAATTCTCAACTGTTTATCTTCTCTACCATAACTCCCTACGTAATTTTTAATTTCCGTGAGTTACTGTATGTAAGTCTAATTTTCAACTTTTAATGCATAAAACACAACTATTTTGCCAATAAATTAGAACATACGATTGCTTAAGCAATGAAATCAGTCACAAAAACTTGCGTTCTCTGCGAATAAATATATTTTTTTTCTCGAAAGATTCGAATATCTTACCATTAATATATAGGGAGTAGCCGCAAATTGGGAGTATGATCACATTAGTTTAGTCAGAGGAATAGTACAAAACTGAGATATTTCTATGTTAATTTTGAAATAGTCGTAAATTTTGAAAATATCGTAACTTAAAATATGATTTCCTAATAAATATTTGGTTCTTTTCTCCGATATTTTGTATTTTACAATTTAAAATTACATTCTTAAAAATGATAAAAAGTTTTGTATACTTCAAATTAAAATTTTTTTCAGATTATTGTTAAATAAAATACAAAACTAAAGTCATTAAAAAATCACTTACCTTTTCCAAACAGAGCTTTAAAACCCTCTAAATTTAAAAAAAAAGTTATTTTACAAATATTAAAAACTCCAGAAAGAAAATTGTTTTCAAGAAATTTTGTTCACTTAACTCTTATTGCTATATTTGTATATATTTTCTTCAAAATATGGCAATGTTTCAAATTTTATGGTAAAAATTTAACTGTTTAATCAATATTCTATAAAAAAACATCAATATAATTTAAATTTATGGTGTTGTAATATTTTACATCCTTATTAACAAACTAATCTAATCTGAGACTTACTGATATCAATCGCAAAATAATTAGTAAAATCATCAAATGAATACATAGTTTTTACACAAATTTATCTTAGCATTTCCTATTAGGTATGCAAATATATTTAAGCTGTATGCTCTTACGAAGAGTTTGCTTTTATTCATAGGATCAAAAACTACTTTTGAGTTGCTGAATACAAATAACTAAACATGCTGAATACAAATAACTAAAATTACGAAATTAAATAAATCACTCACCCGGGGTAAAAATTTGATCTAAATTACCTAAAAAAGACCATAAAATTAGTTAAAAATTTAACAATTAAAAGTACTTTTGAAAATTTGCATCCCAACCCAAAAAAGAAATCAAAATTTCTTTGCTTTCGACATAAAATTATGAAAGGTGGAATTAGTTAGTCAAAATTTCAACACATTCTTAATATAGCCTAATAAATCTAACCTTCAATTCTTAAAATGTGAATTGAATACATCATAATCGAAAGAATGACAAAGTTTGGACTCTTCTACGGTAATTTTGAAAATGCCACTTGTTTTAAAAGTATAGTATTCTTAAAATTTGATAGGAACTATATGTGATAGGAACTCAGGAACTATTTTACCAATTTCTCTCAAATTTTGGATTTTGCCATGTAGAATTACGTTCTTTAAATTAATGTAATTTTATTTTCTTCTTACAGTTATAAATTTTTTCGACTATTTTTAAATAAAATATAATGAATATTTACTAAAAATTTATTTTTTTATTTGGAATTATCCGTTGATAAATAAATTTCACAACTGTATACAAAGATATTTCAATTTGCTTAAAAATTTCTCGAGTTAGCAAAATACGCAAAAAGTTAAATTAACATTAAGGAGTGCAAACTTTGGACTTCCCTTCTGACAAAACTTTTGAGACTGTATTTCCCAGATTGCGGATACCCCCTATTTTTGGGGGATCAGAAGTCTGAATCCTCCTAAAGAGAAGTATGTTAATTCAGAAAAGTACTCCAGAAAAGTATATCTGATTTTATAGTTTAAAGTTTCGTCCGCACAAATTAATTAACATATTTGAAGTCACCCCGTCGAAACATATGGATTGAGTCTTAGTACGTGAAGGTCCAATCTTCAGATTAATAGTTATTCAAAGTTTAGCGCTTATTTATTTTTTTGAGCACTTGCACTGTTAGTTAAGAAGTACTTCATAGGTACATCTAAACAAAAATAATTTATACATGAATTAATAAATTAATTAGAACTTTTTAAACCACAAACCTATTTTGTTTTAAATACGGCAGCTAAGAATTTTTCGTTTTTTGATCTTGATCTTACATTACAAAATATGGTATAGTCTCAAATGTTATTGTTAGAGATTGATGGTTTTTAGTCAAAATTTATTGCATAATCACAGGTCAATGTAGGACATATAAAGCGAAATAGTATTTTCTAGTTTAGAGATAGTTGCATAAATTTAGTTTTTCGCACTGCACACTTGTAGTGTTGTCTAAAAAATCTTTCTTTTTTCCATCGAAACAGAAAAATGTTATGCAATTAATTAGAAATCTTTATACCGCAAATCTATTTTGTTAAAAATTCAGTAGCTAAGATTTTTTTTTTTTTTTGTATTTGGATTTTGATCTTATATTGCAAAGCATAGCTAGCAGTAAGTTTGTTTGCTGAAAGCTGAGGTGGAATTGGTCAGTCGAAATTTAATTAAATTAACATACCCTATGGAATCAAGTCTACAATTAAAATGCGAATTGAATACAGCGTAATCAAAAGAATGACAATTAAATGTAATTATTAAATATTTTCTAAATTTCGAAATCAATAATTTTTTACTTCATCCTTTCTCATAAAATCATGTTAAGAACTGAATTTCACTTATAATGTGCATCAACACTTGTTATTGACTCAAACGAAGAACAAAAATAAAGAAAAAAAATAGCTTTTATTTAAACATGTGAAAACTACTCACCACCACCACCACCACTAAGAAGTTCTGAAACTAAATCATAAAAAAAAATCTAATATTATAATGAAATATCAATAATAAATCAAATGTTCCTAAGCAAAATAAACATTTAATTCGTTTGCGCATGCATATTTTAACATAATTATCGCATATAGCTCGGAGATTTTATCATAAACTCTTTACGTAATCAATACAGAATAAAAATAAATTGTTAATATGTAAATACTTACATTGGCCGAAAAATTTTTGGAAATCTTCTAAAACAATAAAGAAATTAAATTAGAAAACAAATATATGGAAGAATCCCAAACTTGTTGAACTTCCTATAAATGCATATTTCAAACATCATGAAAATAAGAAATCAACAGATGCAAAATAAAATGACCAAGAGTGTTAGTTGCCATCCCTTGCCCGAAAAAGGGCTTTACTGAATATTGCCTACTTTTTTCAAGAACAAAGTAAGCAAGTAATAAAAAGCAATTCAGAAAATGTACGCTTTTTATATCTGATTTTAATAATTTAAAGCACAAGTAAGTCTGCAGACATTAATTAACATATTAGAGGTCACCCCTGAAGCCACATAAATTGAGTTTTAGTACGTGAAGGCCTAATTTTCAGATTAAAAGTTACCCAGAGTGGTGCTTTCATTTATGTATTTACTTATTTGCACTGATGCTTCTGAAAACTTCCATTGGACCATGAAAACAAAAAAAGAAAATATCGTGCATAAATAAATCAATTAATTAGAACTCTTTAAACCGCAAATCATTTTTTTTTTTAAATTCAGTAACTGAGATTTTTTGTATTGTTTTCGGATTTTGATCTTATACCGCAAACCGTGGTGTTGTTTCAAGTTCTTTTGTCAGATATTAATGGGTTTTACTCAAAATTATTTGTATAATTATCTTAAAGTCACATTTGAAAAGCAACTTAAGTCATATTTGAAACGCAGCTAACTTGACACAAAAATTATAATTCCTTCAAATATGAATAATAATAAATTAAAACTAAAGAAATTAAACATATTCTTAGTTTGGTCTTAGGACCCTTTATAGCTAATAAAGCAAGTGGACACAAAACATTATATCTACAACCTTAAAAACATAAATTATTTAAGAGTTAAATCTTTTAAATCTTCAATATAAAATTAATCATTCCTTTGAAATTCCCCAGAGATGAGAAATCAAGATATAAGATAACCACTGTCAATTATGATTTGATATTTTAAAAATAATTAATTAAAATTATAATTCATCAAAATTATTTTTAATATAATAATTTAATCATGTAAAGATAGTATTTAATATTTCATCAAAGCATATGTTTACGAAATTTAGAGTTTTTCTAAATTTAAATTGACAAGTCAGCTAGCCACCTGAAGCAGCTTGACTATATTGAATTCATAAATTAGGAATATTGAAAAATCACTTACGGTTTCCTAACAGCTTTTGAAAGCCCTCTAAATGAAAAAAAATAATTATTTTACAAATAGTTAAAATTTTTAGTGAATCATTTATTTAAAAGTTTCGTTAACAAAACTATAATTACTATCTTTTCCTATTTTTTTGTTACAAAATACGGCAAAGCTTAAAAATTTAGGGTTATTTTTTAACAGTTTAATTCCATGCGAAAAAAATTCTTTATTAAAATTTAAACCTTCTGTTTTGTAATGTTTTACATCATTCAATCGTAAAATAATTCTTAAATTCGAAAAATTAATTGTTAGTATTTACACAAATTTACATTAGCATTTTATACTAGATATGCAAATTTACCGAAGAGCCATTACATTATGACCACCCTCCATCTATAACAATAGGCTCGCCCAGGTTTTCATGGTTTATCGCCCAGGAGCAATGTTTTAAAGGGGCACATTAGGACCCGTAATCCTCATAGAACAATCCCTGACGTCTGTAAGTTACTTGAAAGCATACTACTGCAGACCAGGTTCACTTATTCAGGGCAACAGTTTTTCCTGCGGGGATGTTGTTTACCAGCAGGATAATGCACCACGTCATAAGGATCGTCATGGATTGGTTCGAGGAACATTCCAGTAACTTTCAAGTCATGTCTTGGCCCCCAAATTCACCTGACCGAAATCCAATAGAACATTTGTGGTCCTACTTGAAAAATCAAATTCATGTTGCCACGCTACCCCCTCGCAAGGTGAGGGAATTACAGGACCAGTTGATGAGCGCTTGGTACCAGATGTCTCAGACTAACTATCAGAATTAATGCCACGGTGGATGCTAGCAGTTTTGAGGGCTTGTGGTGATGGGTTCGCCGCTCATCGTAAAATCAAGATTATTTCATTTTATTATCTGTTTGTCTTTAATCAATTGTGTTTTTAATTATTTTTGAAGTGAACTGAATTAAGAGTTCTGATGTCATATTCTTAGAAACGTATAAATTCCAGAACGCACATGACAGCCTGTCCGTATTTCTCTCATCACCTGCTGTGATGGTGTTCCTTGTAATTCAAACATACTTGTACATAATGTAAATATGTTCAACAAAATATTAGTATTTAAAAGGAGCTATCTTCGCTTACTTCAGGCTTAAGGCGGTTCTACATGTTATTAGCAGGTTGGTTATAATGTAATGGCTCTCTGGTGTATATTTAAGCTTTAAGGTATTGCTAAAATTTTGCTTTTTTTTATAGTATCAGCAAGTGCGTAATCCAATCAGACTACAAATAATTTAATTTGAGAAACTAAATAAATTACTCACCTGGGGTTAAAATATCTCCTAATTGATCTGAAAACATACCATAAAATAAGTTTTAAAAAATTCATAGAAAATTCAACAATATAACATAACTTTTCAAAATTTGTTACTCTCAAAAAACTAACTGGTCAACAGGAAAACATAGTAATTTTACTTATCAAAAGCTAACGTGAAAATGGTTAGTCAAAATTTCATTAGCTTCCAAATATAGTCTACTGATTCTAGCTTACAATTACTACTACATACGGCATAATCGAAACAAAGACAATTAAATACAGTTATAAAATAACTGTACCTAAAACTCGGAATCAATAATTTTCTAAATTTACTTTCTTTTTACTTTAGCCTTCCTCATCAAACCATGTAAGGGTTTGAAATTTTTTTATAATTTTCATCAACATTTCTTATAGACTCAAAAATAGAACAAAATCTAGAAATTTTTTTTTTAAAAAGAAATAGATAAGTGAAAACTACTTACCAAGACCAAGACCACCTGTTACTGAATCAAAAAGAAATAACAATCATATAATAAAATACCATTACTAAATAAAATAATCCTAAATAAGACAAATTTGATTCAGTTATGCATGCATATTTTATCTCAAAGCTCTTGCTTCGAAAAATGAAATTTACTAATGATGCCAATGAATACTTATACTTAATCCATAGGGAAATGCAAACTAAATTTCAAATATCTAAATACTTGCATTGGCTTAATATTTGTTAAAAAAATTTTAAAACATAAAAAAAAAAACTTCATAAACAAAAATAAAGAAAAATATCCAGTTTGTTGAATATCCAAAAAATGAATTTAAAAAATTTAATAAAATGTTTAATTCATTTTCCTCAATTCATATAAGACAATTAGAAAAGTAATTCATTTCAAACGTCATGAAATAAGGAAACAACAGACACGAAATAAAATGACCAAAAGTGTTAGTTGCCATCCCTTGCATTAAAAAGGTTTTTCCTTAATATTACCTACTTTTTTCCCGAACAAAATAAACATGTAATATAAAGCAAGAGACAAAAGTGAAGATAAAAGTACACAAAACCGAATGTTGCACTAAAATATAAAGATTCTTAAAAACTTATAGTCATAATGAAACTTTATTAATTCTCAACCATAATTCATACGCAACTGTATTTTTTATTTTCAGTTAGTTATTGTTTGTAAGTTTAATTTTCTACTTTTAATGCCTAAAACTAAAGTTGACGGGATAAAGTGTATGTACTCATACAGTGTGCAATAAAATGGAATACCCTGAATAACTTTCCATCTATTTTCAAATCTTCACTTTCTCGGAATAGATATTGTTGGTTCAAGTGCTGGAATTCTGTTTTGCTTATTAAATAAAACATGTCATACTTTAAGCAACGAAATAAGTTACAAAACTTACTTCCTCTAAATAAACGTACCTTGTTTTTCGACTGAACTGATGCGGATATCTCACCCTCAAAAAGTAGGGGGTAGCCGAAAATTGGGAAATGTAGCTGCTATAGTTTGGTCAGAAGAATGTTGCAAAGGTTGGACACTGGTACTTAAATTTTGAAACTATCGTTAGTTTGGAAAATATCGTATTCTTAATGTTTGATTTCACAGGAACTGTATGGCTGGTTTCTCACAAATTGTTTATTTTGCCATTTAAAATTACATTCTTTAAAGTGATGCAAAAATTTGTGCATCTCATAATTAGATAATTTTTCGACTACTGTAAAATAAAATAATAAAATATAATAAATCTGCAATAAAAGCTATTTTTTCAAAGAAAATATCTTTAAATGAAGGTATTTTACAATTCTGAACAAATATATTTTAGGCTGCTTAAAAAATTTTCGAGATAACGAAATACGGAAAAAGTAAAATTTACATTTAGAAGCAATTTTAGGAGAAAACAATTGGGACCATATTTCTCAGTATGGCTATCCCCTACTTTTGGGGGATCAGAAATCGGATTCCGCCTGAAATATGGTATGATAATATGAAAATGTATGCTTTTTATATCTGATTTTTATAGTTAAAAGTAAGGTCTGTACAAATTAATTAACACATTTAAGGTCCCCCTCAAACCATATACATGGAGTCATAGAACGTAAAGGTCCTATTTTCAGATTAAAAGTTATCGAGATGGGTGCGTTTATTTATTTGTTTGCGCTGATGTCTAAGAAATCTTTCATTAAACCCTCTAAACAAAGAACTATTTTGCATGAATTAATCAATTAAATAGAACTTTTTATACCGCAAATCAATTTTGTTCAAAATTCAGTAGCTAAGATTTTTGTTTGCTTTTGGACTTTGATCTCATATTGCAAAATGTGGTGCTGTTTCAAATACTTTTTTATAAATATTTATGGTTTTTAATCAAAATTAATTATATAATTATACGTCAGTATTTCATTTGACGCAGAAAAATTGTTTGAAATTTAGACATCATAGTCCTTAAAGTCATATTTGAAAACAACTAACTTGAAACAAAAATTATTATTTCTTCAAATATGGATATAAAAAAAATCCATTATAGAAATTAAGCATACACTTAGTTTGGTCTTAGTACCCTTCAAACTAATAAAACATGTGGACACAAAATATTTCAAATAACTACAACTTTAAAAACTTAAATTATTTAAGAGTTAAATCTTTCAAATCTTCAATATAAAATTAATCATTTTCTTAAAGGTTTCCAGAAATGAGAAATCAAGATATAGGATAACAACTATCACTTATGATTTGATATTTTGAAAATAATTTGTTAAAATTATTATTCATCCAAATTACATATAATATAATAAATAAATAATGTAAAGATAATATTTAACATTTCCTCAAAACATTTTTTTTCTAAATTTAGAATTTTCCTAATTTTAAATTGACAAATCAGCTAGCCACCTGAAGCAGCTTGAATATATTAAATTCATAAATTATGAATATTGAAAAATTACTTACGCTGTTCTAGCAATGCCTTAAAGCCGTCTAAATAAAAAAATAATTATTTTACAAATGGTTAAAATTTTTAATAAATCCTTTATTAAAAAAGTATCGCTAACAAAACTATAATTAAAATCTTTCCATATTTTTCTGTTACGTTAGACCGCAAAGTTTCAATATTTATGGTTATTCTGTAACAGTTTAATTCCATGTGGAAAAAAACTTTATTATAATTTAAAATTTCTGTTTTGTAATGTCCTACATCATTCTGTCATAAAATAATTAATGTAATTGAAAAATAAACTATTAGTATTCACACTAATATACATTAGCATTCTATAATAGGTATGCAAATATATTTAAGCTTTTAATAAAATTTTGATTTTATTTATAGTATCAGCAAGTGCGTAATCCATTCGGAATACAAATATTTTAAATTACGAACTAAATAAATTACTCACCTGGGGTTAAAATATCTCCTAATTGATCTGAAACGAGACCATAAAATAAGTTTTAAAAAATTCATAGAAAATTCAACAATATAGCATAACTTTTCAAAATTTGCTAGTCTCAAAAAACTAACTGGTCAACAAGAAAATATAGTAATTTTATTTATCAAAAGCCATACGGCATAATCGAAACAAAGACAATTAAATACAGTTATAAAATAACTGTACCTAAAACTCGGAATCAATAATTTTCTTAATTTACTTTCTTTTTACTTTAGCCTTCCTCATCAAACCATGTTAAGGTTTGAAATTTTTTGATAATTTTCATCAACATTTCTTATAGACAAAAAATAGAACAAAATCTACAAAAAATTTTTTTAAAAAGAAATAGATAAGTGAAAACTACTTACCAAGACCAAGACCACCTGTTACTAAATCAAAAAGAAATAACAATCATATAATAAAATACCATTACTAAATAAAATGTTCCTAAATAAGACATATTTGATTCAGTTATGCATGCATATTTTACCTCAAAGCTTTTGCTTTGAAAAATGAAATTTACTGATGTTGCCAATGAATACTTATACTTAATCCATAGGGAAATACAAACTAAATTTTAAATATCTAAGTACTTGCATTGGCTTAATATTTGTTAAAAAAGTTTTAAAACATGAAAAAAAAACTTCATAAACAAAAATAAAGAAAAATATCCAGTTTGTTGAACATCTTAAAACTGCATTTTAAAAGTTTATTAAAATGTTTAATTCATTTTCCTCAATTCATATAAGACAATTAGAAAAGTAATTCATTTCAAACGTCATGAAAATAAGGAAACAACAGACACGAAATAAAATGACCAAAAGTGTTAGTTGCCATCCCTTGCATTAAAAAGGTTTTTTCCTGAATATTACCTACTTTTTTCCCGAACAAAATAAACATGTAACATAAAGCAAGAGACAAAAGTGAAGATAAAAGTACACAAAACCGAATGTTGCACTAAAATATAAAGATTCTTAAAAACTTACAGTCATAATGAAACTTTATTAATTCTCAACCATAATTCATGCGCAACTGTATTTTTCATTTTCAGTTAGTTATTGTTTGTAAGTTTAATTTTCTACTTTTAATGCCTAAAACTAAAGTTGACGGATAAAGTGTATGTACTCATACAGTGTGCAATAAATTGGAATACCCTGAATAACTTTCCATCTATTTTCAAATCTTCACTTTCTCGGAATAGATATTCTTGGTTCAAGAGCTGGAATTCTGTTTTGCTTATTAAATAAAGCATGAGATACTTTAAGCAACCAAATAAGTTACAAAAACTTACTTCCTCTGAATAAACGTACCTTGTTTTTCGACTGAACTGATGCGGATATCTCACCCTCAAAACGTAGGAGGTAGCCGAAAAATGGGAAATGTAATTGATATAGTTTAGAAAGAAGAATTTTACGAAGGTTGGACTTTGGTACATAAATTTTGAAACTATCGTTAGTTTGGAAAATACTGTATTCTTAATGTTTGATTTCTCAGGAACTGTTTGTCTGATTTCTCACAAATTTTTAATTTTGCCATTTAAAATTACATTCTTTAAAGTGTCGTAAAAATCTTTGCATCTTGCAATTAGATATTTTTTTGACTATTGTAAAATAAAATAATAAAATATAATAAATATACAATAAATGTTATTTTCTCGATAAAATATCGTTAAATTAAGGTATTTTACAATTCTGAACGAAGATATTTTAAGCTGCTTAAAAAAATTTCGACATAACGAAATACGGAAAAAGTAAAATTTACATTAAGAAGCAATTTTAGGAGAAAACAATTGGGATATACATATTTCTCAGTATGGCTATCCCCTATTTTTTGGGGGGTCAGAAATCGGAATCAGCCTGAAATATGGAATGTTAAATCGATAATGTACGCTTTTTATATCTGATTTTTATAGTCTAAAGTACGGTCTGCGCAACTTAATTAACATATTTGAGGTCACCCCCTCAAACCGTATATATGGAGTCATAGTACGTGGAGGTCCAATTTTCAGATTAAAAGTAATCGAGATAGATGCGTTTATTTATTTATTTGCACTGATGTCTAAGAAATCTTTCATTGAACCATCTAAACAAAGAAATATTATGCATGAATTAATAAATTAATTAGATCTTCTTATACCACAAATCAATTTTGTTCAAAATTCAGTAGCTAAGAATTTTGCTTTTTTTTTGGACTTTGATCTCATATTGCAAAACGTGGTGCTGTTTCAATCTAAAATCTGCTTCAATCTAAAATTAATAATTCCCTTAAAAGTTCCCAGAAATTGGAAATCAAGATATAGGATAACCACTGTCACTTACGATTTGATAATTTAAAAATAATTTATTAAAATTGTAATTCATCTAAATAATATTTAATAAAATAAATAAATAATGTAAAGATAATATTTAATATTTCATCAAAACATATCTTTTCGAAATTTAGAGTTTTCCTAAATTTAAATTGACAATTCAGCTAGCCACCTGAAGCAGCTTGAATATATTAAATTCATAAATTATGAATATTGAAAAATTACTTACGCTGTTCTAGCAATGCCTTAAAGCCGTCTAAATAAAAAAATAATTATTTTACAAATGGTTAAAATTTTTAATAAATCCTTTATTTAAAAAGTATCGCTAACAAAACTATAATTAAACTCTTTCCATATTTTTCTGTTACGTTAGACCGCAAAGTTTCAATATTTATGGTTAGTCTGTAACAGTTTAATTCCATGTGAAAAAAAACTTTATTATAATTTAAAATTTCTGTTTTGTAATGTTTTGCATCATTCTGTCATAAAATAATTAATAAAATCGAAAAATAAACTATTAGGATTCACACAAATATGCATTAGCATTTTATAATGGGTATGCAAATATATTTAAGCTTTTGCTAAAATTTTCCTTTTATTTATAGTATCAGCAAGTACGTAATCCATTCAGAATACAAGTAATTTAAATTATGAAACTAAATAGATTACTCACCTGGGGTTAAAATATCTCCTAATTGATCTGAAGAGATACCATAAAATTTGTTTTAAAAAATTCATAGAAAATTCAACAATATAACATAATTTTTCAAAATTTGCTTCTCTCAAAAAACTATCTTGTCAACATTAAAATATAGTAATTTTATTTATTAAAAGCTAACGTGAAAATGGTTAGTCAAAATTTCATTAGCTTCCAAATATAGTCTATTGAATCTAGCTTACAATTACTACTACATACGGCATAATCGAAACAAAAACAATTAAATACAGTTATAAAATAACTGTACCCTAAAACTCGGAATCAATAATTTTCTTAATTTACTTTCTTTCTACTTTAGCCTTTCTCATCAAACCATATTAAGGTTTGAAATTTTTTGATAATTTTCATCAACATTTCTTATAGACTCAAAAATAAAACAAAAACTACAAAAATAATTTTAAAAAAAAAATTTGATAAGTCAAAACTACTTACCAAGACCAAGACCACCTGTTACTGTATCAAAAAGAAATAACAATCATATAATAAAATACCATTTCTAAATAAAATGTTCCTAGATAAAATGTTCCTAAATATGATATATTTGATTCAGTTATGCATGCATATTTCATCTCAAAGCTCTAGCTTCGAAAAATGAAATTTTCTGATGTTGCCAATGGACTTATACGTCATCCATATGGAATACTAAATAAGTTTTTAATATGAAAATACTTACATTGGCTTAATATTTGTTGACACGTTTTTGAAACATAAAAAAAAACTTAACAAACAAATATAAAGAAAAATATCCATTTTTTTGAACATCCAAAAAATGCATTTAAAAAAGGGATTAACATGTTTAATTTATTTACTATAAGACAATTTAAAAAAAAATTAAAAATTTCATATAAGACAATTTAAAAAGAAATTCATTTCAAACGTCATGAAAATAAGAAATCAACAAACACGAAATAAAATGATCAAGAGTGTTAGTTGCCATCTGTTGCCTAAAAATGGTTTTTCCTGAATATTACCTACTTTTTTCCCGATTAAAATAAACATGTAATATAAAGCAAGAGACAAAAGTGAAGAAAAAAGTACACAAAACCGAATGTTGCACTAAAATATAAAGATCCTTAAAAACTTACAGACATAATGTAACTTTAGTAATTCTCAACCATAATTCATTTACAACTGTATTTTTCTTTTTCTCTTAGTTATTGTATGCAAGTTTAATTTTCTACTTTTATTGCTTAAAACTAAAGTTGACGAATAAAATATATGTACTCATACAGTGTGCAATAAGATAAATGGAATACCCTGAATAACTTTTCATCTATTATTCAAATCTTCTCTTTCTCGGAATAGATATTGTTGATTCAAGAGCTTGAATTCTATTTTGCTTATTAATTAGAACATGAGATACTTTAAGCAACGAAATAAGTTACAAAAACTTACTTTCTCGGAAGAAAGCGTACCTTGTTTTTCGACTGATCTGGTGCGGATATCTCACCCTCAAAACGTAGGGGGTAGCCGAAAAATGGGAAATGTTGTTGATATAGTTTAGACAGAAGAATTTTACGAAGGTTGGACTTTGGTACATAAATTTTGAAACTATCGTTAGCTTTGAAAATATCGTATTCTTAATGTTTGATTTCACAGGAACTGTTTGACTGGTTTCTCACAAATGGTTAATTCTGCCATTTAAAATTACATTGTTTAAAGTGATGTAAAAATTTGTGCATCTTACAATTAGATATTTTTTCGACTACTGTAAAATAAAATAATGAAATATAATGAATATGCAATAAAAGTTTTTTTCGCAATAAAATATCTTTAAATGAAGGTATTTTACAATTCTGAACAAAGATATTTTAAGCTGCTTAAAAAATTTTCGAGATAATGAAATACGGAAAAAGTAAAATTTACATTTAGAAGCAATTTTAGGAGAAAGCAAATGGGATATACATATTTCTCAGTATGGCTATCCCCTATTTTTGGGGGGTCAGAAATCGGAATTAGCCCGAAATATGGTATATTAATTCGAAAATGTACGCTTTTTATGTCTGATTTTTATAGTTTAAAGTACGGTCTGCGCAAATTAATTAACATATTTGAGGTCACCCCCTCAAACCGTATATATGGAGTAATAGCACGTGAAGGTCCAAATTTCAGATTCGAAGTTATCGAGATAGGTGCGTTTATTTATTTATTTGCACTGATATCTAAGAAATCTTTCATTGAATCATCTAAACAAAGAAATATTATGCATGAATTAATCAATTAGTTAGAACTCTTTAAACCGCAAATCAATTTTGTTTCAAATTCAGTAGTTAAGATTTTTGTTTATTTTTGAACATTGATCTCATATTGCAAATTCTGGTGTTGTTTCAAATACTTTTTTATAAATATTTATGGTTTTTAATCAAAATTAATTATATAATTATACGTCAGTATTTCATTTGACGCAGAAAAATTGTTTGAAATTTAGACATCATAGTCCTTAAAGTCATATTTGAAAACAACTAACTTGAAACAAAAATTATAATTTCTTCAAATATGGATATAAAAAAAATCCATTATAGAAATTAAGCATACACTTAGTTTGGTCTTAGTACCCTTCAAACTAATAAAACATGTGGACACAAAATATTTCAAATAACTACAACTTTAAAAACTTAAATTATTTAAGAGTTAAATCTTTCAAATCTTCAATATAAAATTAATCATTTTCTTAAAGGTTTCCAGAAATGAGAAATCAAGATATAGGATAACAACTATCACTTATGATTTGATATTTTGAAAATAATTTGTTAAAATTATTATTCATCCAAATTACATTTAATATAATAAATAAATAATGTAAAGATAATATTTAACATTTCCTCAAAACATTTTTTTTCTAAATTTAGAATTTTCCTAATTTTAAATTGACAAATCAGCTAGCCACCTGAAGCAGCTTGAATATATTAAATTCATAAATTATGAATATTGAAAAATTACTTACGCTGTTCTAGCAATGCCTTAAAGCCGTCTAAATAAAAAAATAATTATTTTACAAATGGTTAAAATTTTTAATAAATCCTTTATTAAAAAAGTATCGCTAACAAAACTATAATTAAAATCTTTCCATATTTTTCTGTTACGTTAGACCGCAAAGTTTCAATATTTATGGTTATTCTGTAACAGTTTAATTCCATGTGGAAAAAAACTTTATTATAATTTAAAATTTCTGTTTTGTAATGTCCTACATCATTCTGTCATAAAATAATTAATGTAATTGAAAAATAAACTATTAGTATTCACACTAATATACATTAGCATTCTATAATAGGTATGCAAATATATTTAAGCTTTTAATAAAATTTTGATTTTATTTATAGTATCAGCAAGTGCGTAATCCATTCGGAATACAAATATTTTAAATTACGAACTAAATAAATTACTCACCTGGGGTTAAAATATCTCCTAATTGATCTGAAACGAGACCATAAAATAAGTTTTAAAAAATTCATAGAAAATTCAACAATATAGCATAACTTTTCAAAATTTGCTAGTCTCAAAAAACTAACTGGTCAACAAGAAAATATAGTAATTTTATTTATCAAAAGCCATACGGCATAATCGAAACAAAGACAATTAAATACAGTTATAAAATAACTGTACCTAAAACTCGGAATCAATAATTTTCTTAATTTACTTTCTTTTTACTTTAGCCTTCCTCATCAAACCATGTTAAGGTTTGAAATTTTTTGATAATTTTCATCAACATTTCTTATAGACAAAAAATAGAACAAAATCTACAAAAAATTTTTTTAAAAAGAAATAGATAAGTGAAAACTACTTACCAAGACCAAGACCACCTGTTACTAAATCAAAAAGAAATAACAATCNTAGTTATCGATCGAACTAATCATAATGGTATTATCGATATCAACTGCAATATCGGCAGTATGTCGGTATTGCAGATAAAGTTCGATAAACAAATTTGTAAATTAAAATCCATATTAATAAAAATGTAAAAAAAAATATGCAAGAAAATTTTAGCATATATTTTGAAAAGAGGGGAGGAGTGGGGGAAGGAGGGGAGGGGCCACGAAAGGTATAATCCAGCTCTGTGCCTAGGGCCTACGAAAGTTATAATCCGGCTCTGTATATAGACTCTTCTTACGAATATATATCTGCCAACTTTTAATCCTTTCCAGCAGGATTCCCAATTCATCCTCAGTAAACTAAATAGCTTATCGATACAGGTTTTCATATTTTGTTATGATCAAAAAATTTGTATTTCTTTAATGATTTCCTGTACCGCCAGTTGCAGCCGCCAGTTTTATCAGTTGTAGTTAACTCCCCTCTTCTCGAAGAAATTGGGAGATGGTCCACAAGTTTAATGTTTTCTATTCTGAGTGTAAAAAAACGAAAGATTGGCATTCGTGGCAATAAGGGAAGCTAGGATAAAAAAAATAATAAAAATAAAAAAAATAAACAAACGCTATCGAAATCCAAGGAATCACTACCATGGAATGTCGGACGGAAAAATCACGAACTTGCTTGAAAACTTAAAAATAAGAGAGAAAAATTAAAAAGAAGAGTATCAGAAACAACTTTAATGTTCTCATCAGGTAATCAAACTGGTTTTGAGGATTTTAGCAGTCATTCCTATTTAAATTATGGCTAATCTTAAATTATTTAGAAATTAACTATAAGGAAGGACAAAAAAAAAATTCTATTCCATTATTTGCTAGTAACATATTCCTGCTCGTCGTTTTATAAGTTTTATATTTATTGCCTGAATTATTTTAGAATATATTTTAGAATATATTAAATTTAGATCTGATTATGGAAAGTGTTCATTTTTTATGTCGGTAACATTTAAATCTTCAGTTTTGGCACTATTTAGTTTACCTAATACCATACAGTCCTTAGCCAAATTATTCGACGCACTAAAATATTTTATGCAAAATCTTAATTATAAGGTGATACTATACAGTTTTATTGCTTTTACGCGACTGAAACCGGTTTGCACTTGTTTACGTTCGTATATCAATTGGTAAAATTGGACGACATATCATATAAATTCGACGATTGGATGAATTAGACTGCATATTATTTAAACATAGAGTAATTATTATATCAGGTATTATGTTAGTATATTATAATAATTAGACCAAACTATTAGACGAACTGCAGTGTTTTAATAATTGCATGTTTTGCGCGAGTTTATGTGCAATACTTTTATAGCTAAGCATAAACGCAAAGGGTTTTTATTTAGGAGATTTTTTATATACTTTTCATTAGTATTTATTTTTAAAGTATTGCATTATAAGGTTAGCCAACTGATACACAAACATTAACAAATATAAACCGGTTTCAGACGCGCGTAAGAACAATAATGCTATATAGTATTACCTGATAATTAAGATTTTGCGTTTAATCTGATTGTGCGTCTAGTAATTTGTCTAGGGACTGTAGTCCAGAAATTTCTTAGAAATGATTTCTGGATGAATAGAAAATCCCAGAATATCTTTGAAAAATCATTAGTAAAAATTTTGGTTTTTTTGGTGAACAAGTGATTTGAGCATTCTGTCCAGCAACTCCATGAACAGTATTATTGCCATGTGATGTTGCAAAGAAATGCCATTTCATTCAATTCTATTTCCAACCTTCTGTACCTATCTAACATTCTATCTGTTCAAAAAAAAATTTATTTATCAAATGTTCTCAAACATTTATATTTAAAAAGTATTATCCTACCATTTAATTTTATAAATTAGATCATAAAAATCATTTGAAAAATTTGGAATATATTTCTGAGTACTAGAAATACTCTATCACTTCCTAGCAGCAAAATTACTTGGAATCTCATTGGACCAATATTGGTGAATCTTGTCTCAATAAAGGTTCAAAGTGCTGATATTTTTCTGATATGGGTCCTATATTAAAATCACCAATTCATTCTGTATTTTACTGTCACTTTACAACCAATATCTACCCTATATAGAATTGTCAGATTCACCAGATATTTTATAATCATTATTCAGCCAATATAAGCCCTATATAGGCCAATATAGACATTGCATAGGACCAATATGAAAGATTCCAGACATCCCAATATTGGTCCAGCGGAGCATGTTCATATAGGACCCATATTGAGCCAATTTCCAGCACAACAGGGGGAAAGATATAATTGTTGCTAGGGTTCGTTCATCACATAGTTTAAAAAATTTAAAATTTGCTCACCACTCGCTAATAGGTCTCCTAAACCACCTAAAAATGAAATATTTAAGCATAAATAAAATTAAAATAGTGACAGTAATTTATGTAAATCAGTGATACAATAAAATTGCATACGTAATTTTAAATATAGATTTTTATGTACCGCAAATTGGGGTTAGTTTGGGGTACTTTTTAAATTTTTTCCCCTCTTGATATTCAGTTTAAATTACGAAGTCGAGCTTTGAATATTTGACAATTTTTGTTTGCAAAACATTTTTTAATGTTGTAAGAGAAACGCTGCTCTAATTGGCATGAAAAATTTTAAGAAATTTGTTTCTTGTCACTACGTCTTCCTAATTTATCGTCTTCAAATCGACTAAAATATTATTCTAGACAATAGTAAACAATGACATTGAATATAGAAGCAAAAGTTTGAGGATACATATAATTTATCTTATATATATATTATTTAATTTTCTGATGGAGAAAATCTAATTAAAAGTTTTTAATTCCTTTATTGTTATGAATAATTCCATAATTTTTATAATTTCCATAGAATTATTAATTTTATTGTAATTAATAATTTGGATAATATTATGATTTAGATTAGTATTAATTACGCTATTATAAACTACACTTCCAAGTCAGCAATAAACAAGATATGATAAACTTCGTTTGGATGTGGGATCTTTTTTTTTCCATTTTGTACTTTTTTTTCCATTGCACTAGAACGCATAAAACACAAGTTTTTGGCATATACAACTTCTAATACAAGTCTCCTTTAGTGGTAAATTTTTCTGAAACACTGAACAATAACATAGTAAAACATTAGGTGCATTTTTTGTTGGTGTATCAAAATTTGCGCAGTGTACTTCGTTTATCTGTACCATTTCCTCTTGTATTGTGAAGTCAGACAAAGTATTTTCTTTTATAGTCGTCGTTGAACAGACGACCCATTTTTGAGGGTTTACGACAACTAATGTTCAAATCCGTAGCTTTGAAAATTTGAACCCAATCCCGAAGACAAGGTAACTACTGGATCAAGTATTGGGAATCTTAGTTCAAAATCGAACTATTATTCAAAATCGGAGGTTTGATAGAAGTTCAACTCTTTCCTGATTGCTTTGAACGTCTATCAAACGTGAGAGTTTGAGATTCAGCATTCTGTCAGTATTTCCCTCGATTCTTATAGATAAAGGTCTTTCTCAGTTTGATTCATCTTCCATGGACTTTCTTCCTGCTAAAGCTATGATTAAAAATGCCTTAATATACGAAAAAACCTGCGCTATTGAGAAAACAAATGTTTTCGTAGGTTTTCAGGAATTTTGAAAAGTTGTAATTGGCCAGATCTAAGTCAAAATCTGACAGAAGGCCAATGCTCTATGTTAGTGTCAGTAATTTTTAAAATACGCAAAAAATTGATTTCGTCAGAAAAAGAACTTCATGCTCTCACATACATCTACCGAGTTCAACTTGTACTGAACATGTACAAGAAGTTCATCTTCTACCTCTCCGAGATTGATTGGCCCATGGGTTGTCATGTCAAATATTACGTCATGTGTCCCTAATTTCGCTAATTGCAATTAAAATTAACTCACCAAAATAGATTTGTCAAAACGAAAGAACAGCGCTGATTTAGGTATCTGATTAAAAAATCAAAGTGAAGTGATAATTCATTGCTGGAAAAAATTTAATTGAATTGAGATTTTAGTTCCCTCTTGGGCCACCTCAAGCTCGAATGCAAGATGCGAAGCTGTTGAACTCTGAGGCATACAATTCCCTTTTGATGTGCTGCTGTCTGTAATTCCACAGTTGCTGTTAAAACACAGATCGGATGCAGTTCAACTTGCTTTGTAATGTGATCCCAGATATTCTGGGGATAGAGCAAAGCAGGGAAATGCGTTAATGTGGAGGTGGCATTCTTGTGACATCCTTTTTCTGCGCGTGGCTGAGCATTGCCTTGTTAAAGAATTGCTACTGAGATCCCTGGATCAGCACATGCAGCACAAGTTTATCACGAACGTAACGCAGTACTTTCACGGCGTCATGGATATATATTAAGGCTGAGCGTGAGTCGTTTACAATGGCACCTAATACCATCAAACCAGGCGTAGAAACGGTATGCTTTTATACAGCATAGACAAGATTGAAATGTGCAACAAGGAGCCTCCCCAATCGTTTTCGATTGTGAACACTGTCCAATTTAAATCTGGTTTCTTGAGGGGAAATGCCTTGCAGAGCATGTGAAGATGTCGCTTTGTTAAATGTATGCAGCAAAAATTTCGCTGGAGTAGTATTGGAAAGAATGAAAAAGATGCAAATGACAAAAGTCTGCGATCAAAGCAAGCAAGTATATTAGATCATGCGTCAACCACATTGCGTCACTAAGGATAATAGTCGAATTAGCAATTGACAGGTAATCAGCAATTCATTTAAATTTCATAGATTTTGGAAAGGTTTTCTTCAGTTTGCACAGAGAAGCACTCTGGAAGCTATAGAAGTACTATGGAATTCCCAAATGTTTTGTAAGCATTATCAGAAATAAATATAAAAATTATAATATACTAGTTATCTATGCCAGCTGACAATCAGAATTTTTCAAAGTTGATTTCGGAGTTAGACAGGGTTGTATACTTTCTCCAACAATCTTTTTTATTTCTATTGACCGGATTAAATAAAAACAACATTAAAAAACTTCAAGTATTCATTAACAACTGTCTAAGAAGAATCTTATGTATCAAGTTGTTTCATAGAATTTGTAATGCAGGAATCCTTAGAAAAGAAAAACATAAACGTAAGGGAAAATGGATTGGTCATGTTGTGCGCTAGCCTGAAAAATTCAAAGTAGCAAGTCCCTGATTGGAACCCTCAGGGCAATGGAAGAAGAGGAAGATTTAAAAATGCTTGTTGCTGGACGATTGTAAGCAAATTAAAATTAATAGGAAAGATATGGAGAGAGGCGAAATATCTGATATCTGGCTGCAAATAGAGTGAGATGAAAAGCTATGATGGAAGTCCTATGCTCCAATTCGGAGAAAAAAGGAGGTACGTACGTATTAAAAAGTTTGGAATAAATAAATTATTTTTATTCGTAAACTTTAACTTCCTTTTTGTTACGGACGTACCAAAAAATTTGTATTTTGAAATTCTACAAATGCAGAAACTTTCGTTTTTGTATTTGTACTTGCAAAACTTTCGAAAAAATAGTTTTTCAAAACAAAACTGTAGTATTATGTGGTGAAAAATATGTAAATTATAATAATTGCACAAAATATTTTTTTAAATATTAAAATAGTGTTTATTTAATTCCTCAATGTCACATGTTTCACGGAAAAAAATTTTTAACTAAAGTTTTCAGTTTAAAATGAAATGGTAATTATGAATATTTGTAAAAACCAAATTACACTAAAACAAAATAAACACTTTAAGCTTTAAACTGATATAAAACATGTCAAGTTTGCTAAGGTTTGAAACTTCATCGTTTTACTTAATTTTTTATGGAATTGATAAATATACCACCACCTAAATAGATAAATGAATATTAATAATTAAATAATTAAGAACTTCATTTTCCCATACATTCATTATCTGTCGTAAAAGAAGTTTCATTTCTAAAATGTTCTTAAAATATTTGTATTCCATTTAATTTTATATATTAGAGCATAAAAAAGATTTTTAAAATTTGGAATATATTTTTGAGTTCAAGAAATACTTTCACTTGGTTCAGCACATTCCTTACAAATTTTAAAATTTACTCACCACCACCTAATCCTTCTAGTAAACCACCTAAATCGCCTAAAAATAAAATATTTCAAGATAAATTAAATCTAAATAACAACAGTACTTTATGTAAATCCGGGATACAATAAAACAGCATGCGGAATTTTAAATATTTACCTAATTAAAAAAAATTTTCTTCATTACTTAATTAAAAAATTCCATGTTCCAACATTCAATAGCAGGTACAAAAACTTTCAAAATGTACTCCGAAACTACTAAAATGTTCAGCAAAATATTTATGTTTCAAAAATTTTCCTACTATTTCATAGTATCAATTAGAGCATAAAAAATGTTTTTTGAAATTGAAATACATTTTTAATTAAAAAACTTACATCGAAATCACATTAGTATTTTAAAAAAAATCAGTGAGACAACGGAATTGCATAGCGAATTTTATGTTTATCGAGAATTTCATATAATTAAAAGTGGGGTAACTTTGAGAATATTTTTCAATTTTTTTCTTTTTAAATTGCAATATATGGCTCTGAATTTACAAAGTGTTTTTGAAAATCTATATATAATAAGTAAAACGTTATGGAATGCATTTAAAAAAAATATTTTCGTCCAAATGCTCACCAGTGGATAGTACGTAATTTATCGCCTCGAAATCGACTGAAATATAATTCTATCAAATCATAAAACTAGATATTACGTTTTAAGAATGTGGAATACATTTTTGAAATAAAGGACTACTTTTACAGTGTTCGAAACATAATTTACAAGCATTAAAATTTATTCTCCGTTCCCTACCCCTAACATGCTTCCTAACCACTTGAAAATAAAATATTCTATTATAAATTAAATCAAAATGAAGACAGTATTTAAAATAAATCAGTGATACAATGGAATTGCATAGCAAATTTTGTGTCTTTCAAGAATTTCGTATAAGAAAAATTGGGATAACTTTGGGACTTTTTTTTAATTACTTGTGTTGGATACATAGCTTAAATTGCAAAAGTGGTATTTAAATAGATGTTCCTAGAAACATTAGAATTCCAAGTAATTAGTTTAATTATAGTAAAATTAAAATAATTTCGTGAATATTAAGGATAATTAAATCATCAATAAATCTGAAAACAAATTTAACACTAAGAGTATAATTTTTTTCATAATAAAAAGGATATTTTTAAAATCATAGTAATAATTCAAAGGGATATCTGTTAGCTTCGAAAGGGGAATGCTATTTAAAATATCCTGGAAATCAAAACTCGCAATAGAATTAATTTTATTATGCTTGATGAATTTTAAAATTGGCCGATTATAAGTGATCATCCAAGAGAAACCTTCTTTTTTATTTAAGTTGTTGGAGAAAATGGTGCCAGGTTTAGTTAGATAAGTATTAGAGCCACATTTGATAGCTCTAAATTTTACAGGAAATTTACGAAATTTAGGTTTGATAATTAAGCAAGGAAACTGTATTGTGCTAATTTAAATTTTTAATCTCTTATATAAAGCTAAATTATTTTTAACGACAATATTATTATTTAAATTAAAAGTTTAACATTTTTACTATTTTTTAATTCTGTATTTAAAAGTTCAACATAGCATTTTTTACAGAAAATTGCCTAATTATTGTTAGCTTTGTCTATGGGACTAATTACACAATTTTTTTTTGAAGTTGCTTAATTTAATGAACAATTTTAGAAAAAATTGTTAAATTGTTACTGTTATTTAAATTATACTTATTATTGAAAACAAAGCTTTTAGTAATAACAAACACCCCATTTCCCTTCTGTTAGCATACCTAAAAATAAAGAGAATCTATTTGATATCTTTAAACAAAAACTATTGAGATCATTAAGAAAGTATTTTTGAATTTTATTGATTGATATATGGTAAATGGGTCTAAATTTTGCGGTTTTTGTCATTAAACTCCTAAGTTCAAAGTTTTCTATAACATTTAAATTACCAGTAATAATATGTTTATGATGTTTATCAACAAAATCAAAATATTTCTCTTCCTCACAGAGACATTCATAATCCAGTATATTAATCTTCCATAAATTTTTGCTTATATTATTTTAATTAAATATAGTTCTATCAAGAGATTTATTATGTTTAAAGCATTTAATTATGTTAAAACCTTTTAATGGAAATAAAGTTTCAAAATTTTCAAAAATATTATGAAATTTGATCTTATCGAAAATCGGATTTTGATAATTAATAACAAAATATAAATTATCTAAATTTTTCTTTTTATTTGGCGAAATTTTACTCATTTTGGCTTTTATAAGATCGAAACAGAGAATTTTGAAATGTAAATTAATGAAAGAAAAGTTAATAATAAGATCGTGAAGCTTATATACATCATAATTCTTAAGGGAAAAAACAAAATCTTTAATTGGTTTAATGTCATAATGCTTATTAAAATATTTTTCTATATTAGAAAGAAAATTTATATTTAATTTGTCACTATTAAGAGAGTTTCTATTATTTCTTGATCCCCGTTTACCTCGATTTGTACGTTTATCTTTCATATGAAAAAGTGAATAAGTTGAGGAGTTATTAAAATTAATTTGTGTATGTTAGAAGGAATCGTTTCGCAAATACGGCAAAATTGTTTTGTATAAAAGCATGTAGTAATTTTGGTTTTTGTAGTCTTTAATCTGAACCTTCTACAATGTCTAAAATATTAATTTTAACATTGTTAAATTTATGTACTCTGAAATAATTCAATTCCAGATTATTGAAAGTTTTATTACTGTTTATATCAGAACGGTGTTGATTAATTCGAATGTAAAGTGAGTTACTGGTTTGTCCAACATATTTCATATGATAGAAACCCCAGGTTAACATATAAATAACATTTTTAATTTTGCAAAAAGATTTGGAACTATCGTTATTGAGAAATGCATGTTTTTTGTCAATTATTTGAGCAAGTTCTGCATCTTTTATCACCACACGCTTTATAAGACGGTAAAATATCGGGTATAGAATGCAATTCAAAAAATCTTTTTCTTTCGCTTTTGCTTTCAGAGTAACAGGATGTATTTTTTAATTTTCTTCTTGTTTATTTGTATTTATTTATTATGCTATATATATATATATATATATATTTTTAAAAGCAATGAACTAATGAACGAGAAGTTAAAAAACTAAATATAAATAAATGATATTTTCANTATATATATATACACTTATGGGCTCTTTTGTGTTTTGCATATTCGTATTTCTACTATCATAATTATACATATTTAAGTTTACGCCATTTTCTAAAATTTCGCGTTTTGCTGTAACTCAAGTGCAGAACGCAAAAAAAAGTTTCCGAAGTTTTTAAAAATTCAAAACTTCTCACCATTATTAATCACGCCATTCACTATAAATTGCCTTGATTATACAATAAATCTGAATGATTAAATAACCATTCAGATCTAGTGCATAATCACCGCAATTTATTCCCGAACAGGATTCCCAATTCATCCTCAATAAACTAAATAGCTTATCGATAACGTATCGTAATCAAAAACTTTAAATGGGATATGAAGCACTTCGCTCGAAAAAAATAACATCACACAATAGCAATTTTCGTAGATCAACACGTATAAGTAATCACTGAAATTACGACTGATTCACAACCTAATACCGTCCCTTAGACGAACCAGAAGTTTTGAAAGAGTTGTTTGGTTTAATTTTTCTGTCACTTAGAGTCAATAAACTCAAAAATCCGTAAGAGCCTCTAAAGTAGCCTCATCTGTCACAAAATTATTCCATTTTAGATTAGCTCCTTACATCACTTAATTAATAATAAATATTTATTCACTGTTTTCAATCATTTGTGATAAACATCCCAAGAAATAAAATTTTCATTAATGAGATAAATTAATATTAAAAGATTTTAATCAGTGATACAGCGAAACTACAAAGCGAATTTTAAATTCCTTAAAAATTCTCTATAATGAAGGACAAAGATTAAAAGGTATCACAAAAGTGACAGTTCTATTACTTGCAAACATCTTTTTCGTCGTCGTTGTCGTTGGTTAGTTTTATATTTATTCTCTGCCATTTTAAAATATTTCGAATTTAAATTAGAATATGGAAAGAGTTCATTTTTTTATGTAGATAACATTTATATCTTGAATTCCGTCCGTATGCTCATCATGAGTATTTAGTTTACCTAATGCCATTGCCGAAAGTTCTGAGAAATTATTTTTGGAGTAATAGAAAATCAAAGAGTATCTTTGAAAAATCTTTGATAAAAACTCTTTGATTTTTTTATTGCTTGATGAACATGTGGTTAGAGCATTTTGCCTAACAATTCCATGTAGTGTAAATAAATAAAATAAAAACTAAGGCAAACAACGGTAAAGAGCGCAAAGAACGTTGTTCTCCTTAGTAAACCTTGTTGCAAAAAACTCTTTAACGTTGTTTGCCTTAGTTTCCATGTATTGTCATGAGTTGTTGCAAAGAAATGCTAATTCAGATACAAGTTTTCATATTTTGTTATGTCCAAAAAATTTGTATTTTTTAATGATTTGCTGCACCGCCAGTTGCAGCCTCCAGTTTCATGAGTTGCAGATAACTCACTCTTCTCGAAAAAATTGAGTGATGGACCGCAAGTTTAAATGTTTTCTATTCTGCGTGTTGAAAATCGAAAGATTGGCATTCGCGGCATTAAGGGAGCTAGCATAAGAAAATAAACAAAATAAACAAACGCTATCGAAATCTAAGGAATCACTTCCGCGAAATGTGGGACGGAAAAATCTCAAACTTGTTTGAAAACTTAAATATAAGAAAGAAAATTAAAAACAGAAATATCAGAAACAACTTTAATATTCCCATCAGGTAATCAAACTGGTTTTGATGATTTTAGCAGTCATTCCTATTTAAATTATAGCGAATCTTAAATTATCTAGATATTAACTCTAAGAAAAGACAAATATTATAAGTTATCACAAAAGTGACGGTTTCATTATTTGCTAGTAACATATTCTTGCTCGTCATTGGTAAGTTTTATATTTATTGCCCGCGATTTTAAAATATTTTAAATTTAAATCAGATTATGGAAAGTGTTCATTTTTTATGTAGGTAACATTTAAATCTTCAATTTTATCACTATTTAGTTTACCTAATACCATATAGTCCTTAGCCAAATTATTAATAATTACATGTTTTGCGCGAGTTTATGTGCAATACATTTATAGCTGAACATAAATGTAAAGGGCTTTTATTCAGGAAATTTTTCTATATACTTTCCATTTGTATTTATTTTTAAAGTATTGCATTATATGGTTAGCCAACTGATACACAAACGTTAACAAATATAAACCGGTTTCAGACGCGCGTAAGAACAATAATGCTGTATAGTATTACCTGATAATTAAGATTTTGGGTTTAATCTTATTGTGCGTCTAGTAATTTGTCTAGGGACTGTAGTCCAGAAATTTCTTAGAAATGATTTCTGGATGAATAGAAAATCCCAGAATATCTTTGAAAAATCATTAGTAAAAATTTTGGTTTTTTTGGTGAACAAGTGATTTGAGCATTCTGTCCAGCAACTNCGTAGAAACGTATTATTGCCATGTGATGTTGCAAAGAAATGCCATTTCATTCAATTCTATTTCCAACATTCTGCATCTATCTAACATTCTATCTGTTCAAAAAAAAATTTTATTTATCAAATGTTCTTAAACATTTATATTTAAAAAATATTATCCTACCATTTATTTTAAAAAATTAAACTATAAAAATCATTTGAAAAATTTGGAATATATTTTTGAGTACAAGAAATACTCTATCACTTCCTAGCAGCAAAATTACTTGGAACCTCATTGGACCAATATTGGTGAATCTTGGCTCAATAAAGGTTCAAAGTGCTGATATTTTTCCGATATGGGTTCTATATAAAAATCACCAATTCATTCTGTATTTTACTGTCACTTTACAACCAATATCAACCCTATATAGAATTGTCAGATTCACCAGATATTTTATAATCATTATTCAGCCAATATAAGCCCTATATAGGCCAATATAGACATTGCATAGGACCAATATGAAAGATTCCAGACATCCCTATATTGGTCCCGCGGAACATGTTCATATAGGACCCATATTGAGCCAATTTCCAGCACAACAGGGGGAAAGATATAATTGTTGCTAGGGTTCGTACATCACATACTTTACAAAATTTAAAATTTACTCACCTAAACTGCCTAAACTACCTAAACTACCTAAACCACCTAAAAATGAAATATTTAAGCATAAATGAAATCAAAATAATGACAGTAGCTTATATAAATCTGTGATGCAATAAAATTTAAAATATAAATTTTTATGTACTGCAAAGTGGGGATAGTTTGGGACACTTTTTTAATTTTTTTTCCTCCGGATATTCAGTTTAAATTACGAAGTAGAGCTTTGAATATTTGGCAATTTTTGTTTGCAAAACCTTTTTCAATGTTGTAAGAGAAACGCTGCACTAAATGGCATGAAAAATTTTAAGAAATTTGTTTCTTAACACTAAGTCATCATTTTAGATGAAGTTAATTTTGGACACCTAATTTATCGTCTTCAAATGGACTAAAATATTATTCTAGAAAATAGTAAACAATGACATTGAATATAGAAGCAAAAGTTTGAGGATACATATAATTTATCTTATATAAATTTCATAATTTTCTGATGGAGAAAATCTAATTAAAAGTTTTTAATTCTTTTATTGCTATGAATAATTCCATAATTTTTATAATTATCAGGTAATTATTAGATTGATTGTAATTAACAATTTTGATAATATTATGATTTAGATTAGTATTAATTACGCTATTGTAATAAAAAACTACACTTTCAAATCAGTATTAAACAAGATATGATAAACTTCGCTTGGATGTGGATCTTTTTTTCTCTCCATTTTTCTTGTACTAGAAAAACTCTGGCTGCACATATTACACAAGTTTATGGCATATACAAATTCTAATGCTAGTCTCCTTTAATTGTAAACACTGAACAATAACATAGTAAAACATTAGGTGCATTTTTTTGTTGGTGTATCAATATTTGCTCAGTATAATTTATTTATTTGTACCATTCCCTCTTGTATGGTGAAGTCAGACAAAGTATTTTATTTTATAGTCGTCGTTGAACATACAACCCATTTTTTGGATTTACGTCTACTAATGTTCAAATCCGTAGCCTTGTAAATTTGAACCCAATCCCGAAGACAAGGTAACTACTGGATCAAGTATTGGTAATCTTCGTCCAAAATCAAACTATTATTCAAAATCGGAGCTTTGATAAAAGTTCAACTCTTTGAAAGTCAAATCAAATCTGAAGGCTCGAGATTTAGCATTCTGTCTCTATTTCCCTCGATTCTTATAGATGAAAGTCTTACTCAGCTTGATTCATCTTCCATCGACTTTTTTCTTGTTAAAGCTCTTCATAAAAATGCCCTAAGCTACGGAAAAACCTGCGCTATTGAGAAAACAAGTGTTTTCGTAGATTTTCTGGAATTCTGAAAAGTTGTAGTTGGCCAGATCTAAATCAAAATCTGACAGAAGACCAATGCTCTATATTAGTGTCAGTCATTCTTAAAATACGCAAAAAACTGATACCGTCAGAAAAAGAGCTTCTAACCCTCACATACATCTACCGAGTTCAACTTGTACTGAGCATGTACAAGAAGTTCACTTTCTATCTCTCTCAGATTGATCGGCCCATAGGCTGCCATGTCAAACGTTACGTCATCTGTTCCTATATACGCTAGATGCTACAAAAATTAACTCACCAAAAATGATTTGTCAAAACGAAATGAAATTTTACTTACGAAGGAACAGCGCTGATTTAAGTATCTGATTAAAAAATCAAAGTGAAGTGATAATTTATTGATGGAAAAAAATGTAATTGAATTGAGGTTTTAGTTCCCTCTTGGGCCACCTTAAGCTCAAATGCAAGATGCGATGCTGTTGAACTTTGAGACATACAATTCCCTTTAGATGTGCTGCGGTCTGTCATTCCACAGTTTCTGCTAAAATACAGATTGGATGCAGTCCAACTTGCTTTGTAATGTGATCCCAGATATTCTGGGGAAAGTGCAAAGCAGGGAAATGCGTTAATGTGGAGGTGGCATTCTTCTGGCATCCTTTTTCTGCGCGTGGCTGAGCATTGCCTTGTTAAAGAATTGCTACTGAGATCCCTAGAGCAACACATGTAGCACAAGTTTATCACGAACGTGACGCAGTACTTTCACGGAGTCGTGGATCAATATTAAGGATGATCGTGTGTCGTTTACGATGGCACCTAATACCATCAAATCAGGCGTAGAAACAGTATGCTTTTATACAGCATAGACAAGATTGAAATGTTCACCAAGGAGCCTCCCCAATCGTATTCGATGGTGAACACTGTCCAATTTAAATCTGGTTTCCTGAGGGAAGATGCCTTGCTGAGCATGTGAAGATGTCACTTTGTTAAAGCAAAATTTTCACTATGCAGCAAAATTTTCACTAGAGTAGTGCTGGAAAGAATGAAAAAGATGCAAATGACAAAAGCCTGAGATCAAAGCAAACAAGTATATTAGATCATGCGTCAACCACAATGCGACACTAAGGATTATAATCGAATTAGCAATTGACAGGTAATCAGCAATTCATATAAATGTCATGGATTTTGAAAAAGGTTTTCTACAGTTTGCACAGAGAAGCACTCTGGAACTTATAGAAGTACTATGGAATTCCCAAATGTTTCGTAAGCATTATCAGAAATAAATATAAAAATTATAATATACTAGTTATCTATGCCAGCTGACAATCAGAATTTTTCAAAGTTGATTTCGGAGTTAGACAGGGTTGTATACTTTCTCCAACAATCTTTTTTATTGCTATTGACCGGATTAAATAAAATCAACATTAAAAAACTTCAAGTATTCATTAACAACTGTCTAAGAAGAATCTTATGTATCAAGTGGTTTCATAGAATTTGTAATGCAGGAATCCTTAGAAAAGGAAAACATAAACGTAAGGGAAAAGAGATTGGTCATGTTGTGCGTTAGCCTGAAAAATTCAAAGTAGCAAGTCCCTGATTGGAACCCTCAGGGGCAATAGAAAAAGAGGAAGATTTAAAAATGCTTGTCGCAGGACGATTATATGCAAATTAAAAATAATAGGAAAGACATGGAGAGAGGCGAAATATCTGGCTACAAATAGAGTGAGATGAAAAGCTATGATGGAAGTCCTATGCTCCAATTCGGAGATAAAAGGAGGTACGTACGTATTAAAAAGTTTGGAATAAATAAATTATTTTTATTCAAGTTAGTCTTTAATTTTATTATAAGTTCAACCACAGTTTCTTGTCTTTTGAAAGCTTTCCAGTTGCCATTACATAAATTGGTTTTCTCTTTTTTTTTTCAAAACATTCAACTTGTTAGGGCAAAACATCATCTGAAAATACTCATTTTATTTGAATTATGTTGTTCAGAAAAAAAATTCTAAATAATGTAAAATTGAATTCTGGGATAATTGAAACAACATAAAAATATTATTTGTTATCTTTAAAATGCATTTAGATCTATTAGTATCATTTATAGAATTTAATTTATTTTAAATTCAAATTCTCGATCTATTAATGACGTAAGATATACTACGTACATAAACTTTAACTTACTTTTTGTTACGAACGTAACAAAAAATTTGTCATTTGAAATTCTACAAATGCAGAATTTTTCGTTTTTGTATTTGTACTTGCTAAACTTTCGAAAAAGTAGTTTTTCTAAACAAAACTGCAGTATTATGTGGTTAAAAGTATATAAATTATAATAATTACACAAAATATTTTTTTAAATATTAAAATAGTGTTTATTTAATCCCTTAATTTCACATATTTCACTGAAAAAAATTTGTAACTAAAGTTTTCAGTTTAAAATGAAATGTTAATTATAAATATTTATAAAAACCAAGTTGCACTAAAACAAAATAAACACTTTAAGCTTTAAGCTGAAATAAAACATGCCATGTTTGCTAAGGTTTGAAACTTCATCCTTTTTCCTTAATTTTTTTGTAGAATTGATAAATATACCACCACCTAAGTAGATAAATGAATATTAATAATTAAATTTTTAAGAACTTCATTTTCCCACACATTCAATAACTGTCGTAAAAAAGTTTCATTTCTAAAAATATTTATATAAATATAAATATGTTCTTAAAATATTTATATTCCATTTAATTTTATAAATTAGAGCATAAAAGTAAAGATTTTAAAAATTTGGAATATATTTTTGAGTTCAAGAAATACTTTCGCATGGTTCATCATATTACTTAGAAAACTTAAGATTTACTTACCACCACCTAAGGCTCCTAAACCACCTGAACTACCTAAAATTGAAATATTTCAAGATAAATTAAATCTAAATAACAACAGTAATTTATGTAAATCAGGGATGCAATAAAACTGCATACGGAATTTTAAATATTTATCATTTAATTATATATCATTTTACATCATCCATTATCTGTCACAAAAGAAGATTCATTTCTAAAATGTTCTTAAAATATTTACATTCCATTTATAAATTAGAATTTATAAATTAGAGCATAAAAGTAAAGATTTTAAAAATTTGGAATATATTTTGAGTTCAAGAAATACTTTCACTTGGTTCATCACATCACTTACAAAATTTAAAATTTACTCACCACCACCTGATCCTCCTCCTAAACCACCTAAATCACCTAAAAATAAAATATTTCAAGATAAATTAAATCTAAATAACAACAGTACTTTATGTAAATCAGGGATACAATAAAACAGCATGCGGAATTTTAAATATTTATCTAATTAGAAAAAATATTCTTCATTACTTAATTAAAAAATTCCATGTTCCAACATTCTATAGCTGGTACAAAAACTTTCCAAATGTACTCCAAAATTACTAAAATATTCTGCAGAATATTTTTATTTCAAAAATTTTCCCACTATTTCATAGTATCTATTAGAGCATAAAAAATGTTTTTTGAAATTGGAATACATTTTTTAATTAAAAAACTTACATCAAAATCACATTAGTATTTTAAAAGAATCAGTGATACAACGGAATTGCATAGCGAATTTTATGTTTATCGAGAATTTCATGTAATTAAAAGTGAGGTAACTTTGAGAATATTTTTAATTTTTTTTCTTTGGATACATAGTTTAAATTGCCAATATATAGCTCTGAATTTACAAAATTTTCTTGAAAATCTTTATATAATAAGTAAAACGTTATGGAATATATTTAAAAAAAATATGTTTGTCCAAATGCTCACCAGTGGGTAGTACGTAATTTATCTCCTCGAAATTGACCGAAATCGACTAGATATTACGTTTTAAGAATGTGGAATACATTTTTGAATTAAAGAACTACTTTTACAGTGTTCGAAACATAATTTACAAGCATTAAAATTTATTCACCGTTCCCTACCCTTAACATGCTTCCTAACCACCTGAAAATAAAATATTCTATCATAAATTAAATCAAAATGACGACAGTGTTTTAAATAAATCAGTGATACAACGGAATTGCATAGTATATTTTGTGTCTTTCAAGAATTTCATATTAGAAAAATTGGGGTAACTTTGGGACTCTTTTTTAATTTCTTGTGTCGGATACATAGCTTAAATTGCAATATAGAGCTCTGAATTTACAAGGTATGTTTGAAAAACTTTTTTTAATATATTAAGTAAAGCGTTATGCAAAATATTTAATTTAAATATTCTATGCAAAAAATTCTCACCTGTGTGTAATACGTAATTTATCGCCTTAAAATAGACTAAAATATAATTCTATCAACTATTAAAACTTGATATTAAAAACAGTCACAAAAGTTTATATTGGGTGTACAAATAAATTCTTGCTGTTCATCACAAGATGGCGCAACCAGAATGTTGTGTAGAAATTGACTGGTGTTAAACGTCTTATTGTAAGTTTGTTCATCTGGTTACAACATAACATTAAAGTATTAGTAATTCCGTGTAAGCTTTAAGTACTTGTTTTGAGCAAAAATGTCTAGCTTCGTGCCAAATAAGCCTCATTTGAAAGGAACTTTTGATTTACTTCCTTAATTTAAAGGAATCTGTAGCTGAGAGGCATCAATTGCTTGAAGAAGCATATGGTGAATCTACTTTAATTGAGAGAAGTTGTCGTGAGTGGTTTCAAAAGTTTAAAAACGGGGAGTTTGACTTGGAAGACAAAAAACGCAAAGGAATGCCAAAATCATATGAAGACAAGGAATTGGAAGATTTATTGCTAGAAGATTCGTCACAAACGCTAAAAGAACTTGCTCTTACATTACAAGTGACTTAGCAAGCAATTTCACATCGTTTAAAATCGTCGGGAATGATCCAAAAACAAGGAAGTTGGGTTCTATACGAACTGAAGCCAAGACGCATTGAGAGTTGATTTTGCATGGAAATTGATTTTTCTATTAGGAAACACTTCAATGGGAAATCCTACCCCACCACCCGTATTTGCCAGACCTTGCACCTTCAGATCATCACCTACTCCTATCGATGGCACATGGTCTGTCTGAGCAAAAATTTACATCATTTGAAGACACCAAGAAATGGGTCGATTCGTGGATATCCTCAATAGATGAAGAGTTCTTCTAACGTGGATTTCAAATGCTCCTGGAAGGATGGGAAAACGTAATATCTAGTACTGGAGAATACTATGAATAAAAGATAATGAAACTTTTTTTCACAACAAACTGCAAATTTTTGATAGAAAACTTCGGAAACTTATTTCTACCCCCTATACATCTAAAAATGTTGATATATTTTTTTAATATTTTAATAAAAACAAAAGAAATCGGAATAAAAGTTTTTCTATTTTTTGTAGTTATGAATACTTTTGTAACTATTTCCATTAATATTATCAATTTTATTGTAATTAATAACACTTTAAGTATATTATTTCGTTTATTATTCTAATTATTTTAATTACATCATTATAATTTCAAACTAAACTTTCAAATCAACATGAAGCAAATTATTAGCAGTTTCGTTTGATGTGGGATCTTTCTTTACTTAGTTTCTTCTATTACCAAACAAAATCAAGGCGTACATATAACCCTTTTTTTTCGGCCTTTACAAAGTCTAATCAAAAGTCTTCCGAAATTCTTTTAGGTTAAAGTTTTAACAGCGCTAAACAGCGTAGTGAAACATTATAAATCTTTTTTTATGAGTGTGATTTATCATTAGCTTTTGATAATTCCTGATCTGCCTCCCTTCCACTTGCACTGTCATGTCACATCAGGAATTATCGAAATCAGTTTGCTTTCACTGTTACAATTACTGCCTTCATTATTGATCTACTCATATCTAAGAATTATCTCTAAGTTTCCACTAAAAAATCAAAAAGCAATAATAAACACATTCACATGCTAAACATACATAAAAAAGCCATACACTAAAAGACGAAACTAAAAGCCATAAAGTTTCCTAATTGAAAATAGAATTCGTTCATTGAACAAGAAATCTGAATATTAATTTAGCTTGCTGACAATAAAACCGCCAATATGTATTTCAGAGGGGATTTAAGGCACATCACTGGAAGAAAAATAAACTTTATAAGATGATTTTTCGTAGATCTGCAAGCATCAGTCATCACGGAAATAACAGCTGATTCATGACCTAATATTGTTCTGCTGACTCGCAAGAAGTTCTGAAAACATTTTCTATCACTGGAGACCAATAACTCTTGAAAACGTGAATATCACAGTTTACCTCACATGTCAAAAAATATCCCCCATTTACAAATAATGCATATTACTCACCACCTCCGCCCATTGAACCTAAAAATTAAATTGTTACTAATAAGATAAAATAATATTAAAGCAATAAAATATAGTAGCTAGTGATACAACGAAACTACATAGCGAATTTTATTTCACTTTTTCGATGCGTAGATTGTTTTAATGGTGCGAATAAAGGAACCATTTTAACAATTTACAGCTCCAAAGAAAGGCTTAATCCAAATGTTACAATTTTCTGCAAGTGTAGCACACTTATAAAAAATCTTTTATGTTTGAAGCTGTTTTGTTACCTTTTTATTTTTTAATTTTTAAGCTGTCTCATACATTAATTTAAGAAACTTTTGTTAAATATATGCTTGTCTATTGCACTCTACTTCTATAAATCCTATTCACGAACCATTATATTTCTCTAAAAAGATATTTATAACAGTTTTTGAAAAATATAGTTGTTCAGAAATAAATTTTACCTATCTAAATGTCTTAAAATTGAATAAATTAAAAAAAAAGCTTCATTATAATTGTAAATATTTATACTCTCACTGAAAGTTTTGTGCGTAAAAGCAACATTGACTTTCTCATATCAATTATAAGAGGGACAAAATATTAATTTTAAAGATTTATTTTGAAATATACAATATACAAACAATTTTGCTTCAAAATGAAAATAAATAGAGTAATGGAGAATTATTATTATCTTCTCTTTTTTTTTTTGGAACTGCGAATTGTTCTAATGGTCTGAATAGATATCCCTTGGAACAATTCACAAATCCGAAAAAAAGAATTAAATCCAAAACCTGCTATCTTCTGCAAGTGTAATTTATGAAAAACCTTTTGGTCTGGAATCTGTTTTTTGTCTTATATTTATTTATTATTTTTTTAGTATTATTTAACGCTGGTTCAAGTATTTACTTTGGGAACTTTGCTCAAATATACGTATACTTTTCAAATGCACTCTACTTTTATATATACCATTCAGAAAAAATTCATGAGTACAGTTACCTTTAAGGTTTGGTAATCATGAGACCCCTTAGCCTTAAACTGTTTTAGAATCAGTTTTATAGTTCTTTTTATTGATAAAAGAATTAAAACTCTTTGGTTTCGATTCATGTCTGGTTACATAATATTTATTTTTACTTTATTAGTACAGCAGATATATTTCACTAAAAAATGTTTATAAAAGTTAAAAATAAATACCGTTGCCAAGAAATAGTTTATTTCATCAACAAATGTATGTAATTTATTAAAATTGAATGTATTATAATTAATATTATATAATAATGTAATGTATATTAGTGTAAATGTATTAAAATGAAACATTATTACAATATTGAAGATTTATGATTTGAATGAAAGTTTTGTGCAAAAAAGAAATATTAACTTGAGCATAACTGTAATGAAATATGCAATCCATTTTTTTTTATGAATTTTTTTTTAAATTTTCAATATACTAGAAAATTTTGATTTAAAATAAATGGAGAATCATTTGCTTCTATTTGTGGATTGTTCCTATGACCTGAATGAGGTCATTACACATATTAGGGAAATCATAAATACGAGAAACGTTTAAATTCGAACAATTTGATTTTCTGCAAGTGTAGCGCAATTAGGAATAACCTTTTGCCAGGAGACCTGTTTTTTATTTATTCATTTATTATTATTATTTAAATTTTATTTTACTCGGGCTCTAGTATGTGTCATGGAAATTTAACCTTTGCATTCTACTGCTGTAAGTGCCATCCATAAACTTTTCCTTCATAAATTAGGATAAGTCTTTTTCATCATAATTGACTTTTCCTTTTACAGTTTTGGTACAGGTGAGCTAGCTTCAAATTTAATTTCAAAATAGTGGTCCTCTTCATTTTGCTTTAGTTACAGTCTCTTTACTGTTACAAAAAGTATTTCACCAAGTCATTTTTTTATAAACTTTTTACAAGTCAACATAAGCAACTTTTCTAGATACATTTCTGGTTGCAAAATATTAGTTTTCATTTTTAAATTGATGCAGTTGATATGTTTCTTAGTTGATATGAAAAAAAGTTAAAGTTTTCCTTAAAAGTAGTGCATTAAATAATTATTATACTTTCTTAAGACTCAAATTAATTGCTACTTGTGAAGACTTTTAAACTGATTATTGATACGGATGGTTTTATGATTCTGTTTGGAAATTTTTCAGAGATTTCAGGTTACTATGCTATCAATGAAGAACATTTACTTATATTCCTTCGTTACCTCTTTAAATCAATACCAAATTAGTTTTAAGACCCCAAGGTTCACACGCTCGTAAGCCACGCCCCATTTCGTAAGGACACTTCGTCCTGTAATCGCATAAAACTATCTTCCATACTCTATTGTAAGTTAAGAAAAAACCATTATCTCTATGGAGTGAGCCTGTTTGTATCGAAGTGCACGCCAAATGGATGCCAAGCCTCAGCGAAAACATATATCAATATCGCCAATTCCTGAAACGACATTGCACAACCTCCTTTTGTTTGCTTTTTTATTAACAACTATAATCAATTATCAAGTAAGCAGAGTCAATAAAATCTAATATATATAATTCTCTCATGTGGCTCCCAAATTTTGGCTGTATTTCTTTTCCACCGGTGGCAACGTTTTCTTTGTTTTGTTTACGTTACTATTTCTCATGCACGGCGAATCGACCAATGATTGCCGCTAAAATGTGACATGCCAAATCTAGCTGAGGTGGCTCAACATATAGCGCTTTGAAAAACGGAAACTGAAATACATCGCCAAGTCTAGAAATCCAGTAAGACTACGAAACTATAACCTATTTTTAATAATTTTATGATTCATATCGTAAGTTAATTTTCTAACTGAGGTGTTTAAATTTTAAAAGCTTTTTATCTTGTTTTGAAAGCATATTTGTATAATTTGATAACGAAATAAAACGGAACTATACGCAATCGTGGATGATTACTTAAATCTTTTACAGCAAGAGTCATTTCTTAACTTGGAACAGAGTATAGCTTATAAAGCTTATAGAATTATTTAGTTGTGTAATTTTACCAGTGATGATCTAATTAACAGCAAAGAAGTTTTTAAGGACTCCACCTACTTGAAATGTAACAACTAATTTAGGGTGGAGTGAATAATAATAAATATGTATGCTTTCATTGAATGATTTTTACATAAAAGAAAGATTAACTTACCAGCCGACGCCAGATTAGCTGTAAAATATACAATACATTAAATTTATGTATTTATTTTTACATATGCAATGTGTAAGATTTTTTTTTAAAAAAAAAGGAAAGGGATATTGGAGGGGGATTTTTGTCTGGATCTGTGGACTGTTTTAATGGTCTGAATTAAACACCATTGCAACGATTCACAGATCCGGAAGAAAAGCTTAATCTCAAATGTTACAAACTTCTGCAAGTGCAGCGCATTTATAACTTTTAATCCATTCATCTCTAAAATTTCATGTTTTTTTTCAATTAGAATTTCTATTTTGTTATTAAATGTTCGAATACCAATAAGAACAATGCTAGTAATTTATTTCCTTCGGGAAAATTTTTTGGCTTTATATTTTATTTAAAAAGTTAAAAACGAAGCTTTGGAATTTAGTGTTAAATGTCAAACAATTTAAAATATAATTTATTCATGTAATCTATGGAAAACAAATATGAATCAATACACTTCATTCCTTATCATCCGGAAATTCTAAAAACTACAAAGTGTGGTTATTAATTTCTAGGTCTGATCTACAAACTCCTGAAAATATAATGTGAGTTACATATCCAATTAAAATGTTCCATTTAACCTCTTGCGGATGGAATACACTTCTCACCCAGCTGGTTATATAGGCTTCAAAAACAAAACAAAAAAAAATTAAAATCTTTATTCAGAATTCGCATAAATCTCACGGTGTTATTTTAATGACTTCGACATTCTAAAACCCTGTTCTTATAACTTTTTTAGAGGTTATTGAAATGAATTATTCAAAACAGTCTTCGAATAAATCTCTTCCTGACTTTTTGTTTTCTAATGGATTTAGATATCCATTTTATGTGTCTCCATGTATTGTCTACCTGATATAACACACTTGTGTACTCCACTATGAAAGTTTCAGATACAGAAATTAAAGTCCTCATCCGAAATTCTGTTTCATTCTAAATTTAATTTATAAGGGCTTTGACATTCATGAGCGTTGCATGTTTGGAAAATTTGTTGGTGGTTGTTGAGATGAATCACTCTTCGGACGAAGCTCTTGCAGATTTGTTTGATTTCTAAACCCCCTCCCTCTAAAAAGAAGATAAATTTTAACCAGATATTGAAGTATCTACAGTTATTTCGGGTTTATGCATTCTGCAATTAATGGTTAGCCTGAGAAATCTCGGACTTTGCAAAAATTGTCAGTATTATTTGTTTTATCTTGTTTTTCTCAGTGGAAGAAAATATTCAGCTTTATAAATAAGAGTCTGATATGCCTTATAAATAGGAGTTTTAGTTTTATAAATAGGAGTTTCAGCATTATAAATAGGCGTATCGGCTTTCTAAATGAGGTCTGAGAGATTTAGTGGTAGAAGGCAAGTTGGTCCTTTTATTAGCAAAATTTAGTTGAATTTTATTTTATTTTATAACAGTCGCTGAACAGCCGACCAAACTTTTCTTAGAGGTTACTGCTACTATTATTCAACTCCATAGCCTTGCAATTTTGAACCCTGCTCAGAAGACAAGGGAACTCCCCGATCAAGTATTGAGAGAAACTTGCTTTCGTGGAGGACTTTTTGATTGAGCTATCCCACATTTGCGTTATATGGAGAGGAAGCCAACGAAAATCTCCCATGGATTGCAAGACGGCAAGGGGACCCTTTAGTTATCCGTCTACCACTGTGTATATTTTACGTCGGCACTGTGGTCGATGCAAGCCGGATGGGGAATTCGTATAGTTCAGCCAGAGCTGGGATTCGAACCCGGTTCACTTCATTAGAAGGCAAATGCTCTATCCCCTGACCCATGATGGCTCAATTAAGTTGAATTGTAAATTTTAATCAATTTGAAATTTTAGTAGAACTTGACTTTAGCAACTCTGATTTTAAATTTCAAGTAAAGAAATATACATAAAATGTATGTTAAGTAAAAATAGCCGTTATTGAAAAAAGATGGAACATTTAGAAGAAAATAATGTTGCATATTCGAGTGGTTTGTAATATTTTTTCAAAAATGTAGTACAAACTAGGTATATGACGGGAAAAGAGTCGAAATCTGTATATTATGTTTCTGTTTCAGCATCTTGATTTTAGTAATGATTTATTTTTTAAAATGATGCTGTTGTTTTTTTAAAACAATTGGTAAGAGAATCAATTAATGATGTCGAGCATAGATTAAGAAGCATAGATTAATAGCATAGATTGAACATAATTGCAATTGAGCAATTTAAAATTTTCCTCTGAGATTTTTACAACCGAGTACAGAGGTCAGTACAATCCTGAAAATCATTAGCTGAATTTAGCATTTTTAAGGTGGATTTTAAAACTGAAAAAAAGAAAATTTTATTTTTCTTTGGAATTTTTAACTTGTTATGCAATTTAGTAAAATTAATCTAATTAATGATGTATATTATAAATATGCCTGTTTGCTGAAAAATTAATTTTTGAGAGCATATGCTCTCCCTAAAAAACTGTAGGCGCTGATGGGATTAACTAGAGTTATTTCAATAAAGCAAGAATTTATATCATCATTACATGCAAAAAATTAGGTGAGCTCATGGATTAATACCAGGAATTATCTCAATAAGTTTACTAACTCATCAGTATACTATAAGAAATGAATTGAGCTTATAGATAAAAAGCTTATATATTATTTTTTAATTTATCCTTATTCAATAATAAGGAAAAATATTCCTTTCACAAAGATAATGATTATCCTAATTTAACGATAACGATTATCTAATGATAATTTCACTACGGTTAAAAATTTATTCTTATTCTACAAAAAATTTTGAGCTAATTTATTTAAAACGAATTATTTTTAGAAAGTCATGAAATCAGCGTAATTTAATTAGAAATTCTATTTTTGAATATTGAAGAAATTCCTAACTAATTACAAGTTTACAAATTATCTGAATAATTACAAGTTTTGGGTTAGTTTATGAAGCCCGGTGGCTGAGCGGTAGCGCTTCGCGCTGTCGTGCCACAGGTCCTTGGTTCGATCCTTGGGCCTGGCAAGGCCGACTCAGCCTTTCATCCCTTCAGTGGGTCGATAAAATGAGTACCAAGCATGCTTGGGAACTAACACTGGGGGTTCCGCGTTCGGCTGACCACCTGACCGGAACATATGCTCCTGCACCCCAGAGCCCAAGGTCAAGAAAACTGAGATGGGCACAGTCGGCCTTGGCCCTCTTAATGGGCTGTCGCGCCACTGAGTTAGTCAGGGTTAGTTTATAATTAATTATAACTTTTAAGAAATATTCAAATTTTTGACTCGAATAAAAATATTTCTATGTTAGTGTTCATACTTAAGTAATATTTATTGCATGCCTTCCTATTTGGTAAATTACATTTTCAATTACGGTGTTATTTTTTTAATAACGCAAATAACGCACCTAGAATGAATGTATGTGAAAAAAATACTTATAAAAAGTCGAACTCGCACCTGCCCTATGACGTTCAGACTAGAAAAATATGAATGTTTATGAAATTTTATGCCAGTTATCGATTTTTCGATCACTCAGCACGATTTACTGATTTAATCTTTAAGCAATGTCGTTTTCATACGCACTAAGGCAAGGACAAAATTATTTTTTTAATAGAAATCAGTTTTTCAGAACAAGCTAACTATATTAAGCAATAACTAAAACATTTGGCTCAGATTAGGCAGTACATTATGCATTTAATTAATAATCACAATCATCGTAAATTAAATTTGTTTATTGTTTCTTTTTTTAAGAAGAATGGAGATTATTTTGCGATGACAAAATAACCAATTGTAACAAAAACTGCTCTTGCGTTTTAAGAAATCTTGAATTAGCTTCACAGCTCCTTCTGACAAATTATTCATTGTTTTGACATGAGGCGACATATGTCTCAGATTCTTGGAAATTGGGAATCAATATCCCATTCGTTAATATCTTTTATAACCAGTCCGGACCAAATCCCATGCTGTGAAACAAAAACCAGGATAGCTAATCTTGTGGTAAATATTCTGTGAGCCCCTTTTTCAGAAACTCTTCTATCATCTTTCCTAAGGACCAACACGTTGCGGAAGGGTTAAAATTTGGGGAACTACAAGTTGATACTCATATTTATTAATGTAAACCAAAATATTAATATACACATTTTACTATTGCTAGAAAAAAACTCTTGGCAACAACGATTGTCCGCAATGTTATGTAAGAAAAAAATGCATGATTTGTTATAATTATAGAATGAGAATGACCGAAATTGGTGATTTTTTGTAACCGTCGTTGAACAGCTGACACAATTTTTGGGCTTACGACTACTAATGTTCAACTACGTAGCCTTTTAATTTTGAACTCCAACCAGAAGACAAGGGATCAAGTAATTTGCCTTGGTGGAGGACTTTTGATGGAGCTAACCCTTATTTTGCGTTACATGGAGAAAGAGACCATAAAAACCTCTCACATTTAGCGTGACTTCAAAGGGGACTCTAACCCATGATCCGTCTACCACTGAGGATTTTCCACGTCAGCACTGCAGTCGATGCAAACCGGATGCGGAATTCATATCGACAGCCACAGCCGGGATTCGAACCATTTCTTCACCTCATTGGAGGTCGAAGGCTCTATCCTCTGAATCATTGTGAATCCAAAATTGGTGATTTTGATAACACATAGTTGCATGTCCGAAATATATATTAGGTTTAGTTACGTGCAATTGCCCGGTGTGACCTACATCAATGTTTTTTGTAAGGTCAAGTGCAAATGCATAGTATGCATTTGCCCGGTACTCCGAACACTGATGTTTCTCCTAATCTATCCTCAACAGGTATAAAAATATCGAATAAATACGATATCACCGAATAAATTAATATCAAATCGGATATAACAAATATTTCGCGACATTTACCAAAACGACTATGTGATTTTTGACATTCACCGGTGAAAGTCGACATTCTCTTGTTCTCGGTCATTCACGGTAAAAATAATGTTGTCAACTTTCGTTTACAGTAGAAAACTATTTTTAAGGGGGCAGGTCTCAGAACTTTGCCTGCGAAGATGATTTTAAATGCTTTAATCCAAGATTTTAAATGCTTTAATAATCGAAACAACTAGAATATATGTCGTTTCAAACTTCCATCTATAATTTGCTAATTGTCCCTTAATTATCTTTGCTTTTCAATTATCTTAAAATTTATATCGAAGTTTCGTGTTACAATGGTGTTACTACGGAATATTTAGATGATATATATATATATATATATATATGTATATACAAAGTGTATCCCAATTCCCTGTGTGGTTTGGAATGCTTACAACGCAATTTTTTATCCTAAATGTGCAATTTCGTGATGTCGCAGGCTTCCAGTTTTAAGTAAAATTCTTGCTGCGATGGCTGAAACATACCACGAACAATGGTCGTGAATGCTGCTGTGTTCCTTCATCGATATGCGGCAACTGTAGTTGCCGCATATCGCATATCGAACAATTGCATGAAGTTATGCGTTCCTCATTTCTCAATGAGAGAGAACATCTTACTCATTATCAGACAGACGTTTATGATTTCCTAAATAACGAACTTCCTAGTAGTTGGATAGAATGGGTCAGTCGACGAACCCCGCCCCCCCGAATTTTTCCATGGGCACCGGCTTCCCAGACAATACAGCCAGTAATTTTTTATGGGACTATATCAAAGAGGGAGTGTTAATGCCGTATGTTTTGTGATTAAACGGCATTGTGATAAAGGATCACAACCGCGATCGCTATTACAGATCTTGACAAGTTACAGCTCTTACGGCATGGATATTACTTCAGGCTATGTATCACCAGACGTATACAAACTGCAAATTTTTAAAAAAAAATGTAATGTTATGTAAAATAAAAAAATTTTGGTGTGTTAGTAACATTTTTTTGTTATAAGCTTTCAAAACATCGGAGAGAATATAAAATATCTAAATCATTCAAATTATCTTTTTTCCTGTTTCCTTCAATTATAAAGTGCTGGGCACTCTGCCTTCAGAGCTCAAAACATTGCAGAATTTTTACATGCCGTACCTTGCATGTCCTGTACGACCCTTTCTATTACGTATTAATGGATACTAATTAATGAACCTATCGTTAGTTTGTCTCAAATATACTGCAATTCCCGAATCATTTCCATTTCAGCACTTTTGTTTTAAAGATAAATCCGAGCTAATATTATCTAATACGTATTAAACGATATAAATTGATTTGCATTACTCATATGTTATTATTCAAGATGGAGTAAAGGAAAAGTGCTATGAATTACAATTGACAAATAAATCTATCAGAAATATTAAGTGATCTCGGCAAAATCCTAAAAAAGTATTTCAGGTTGAATTTTTGCTTGCTCGAGTTAATGTCTTTGCAAGTGTCTTTACCTCCCCGTTAGCCACGTGATACATTTCTAAGGAAAGTGCAATTCTTAAAATTCATATGCAATTCTTAATTCATATGCAATTCTTAAAAATTGAATTGGGTAGAAAACATGAAGATTTCCTACCGAGAAACCGTGATTGACTAACAATAGAGAAAACGAATTACATGGAATAAGGGTGAGAAGGGCAAGCTGATAACAGATGTTCGTTGAACACGTGAATGAAGGAATCAAGCCCCGGTCCACAACAAAAAACAGGGGGGGGGGTCTTGTGGACAGGTGTTGTTTGCTTTCACAAAATAATTGTGAAAGACAGAGAGAAATCTCACTCAAATTTTGCGAGTTAAGAAAGACCCCCTCAAATACTATAGTCCAAACGCGGATGTCAAATGGGAACATTTTAATTTTAACAGAAATAACTCCCTAGAAATAATAATTGGAAATATTTTAAGTTAAAACGAAATATATGTCCCCTGGCTGCTAAATAACGCCAATAAAATGCATTTTCTATAACTATTTTTTTTAAGTTAGAGACTGTAAACCTTAAGAAAATTTTAAGTTCAGAAATTAAGTAAATTTGACTTTAGTTCTATAAAAAAATTAAAAAATTTTCCAAAAATTAAGAGCATCTAAAATAAATTCATACTGTTCTGCGTCATTTCAGAAAATATGACAAATCTAAGTAAATAATTAGGTTAAAAAAAAAAATTCGCCAAAAATTTTCCCATTTGGGAACATCGGCAGGTAGAAGGTTAACGGAAACTAATTAATGAACCTATCTTTAGTTTGTCACAAATATACTGTAATTCCATAATCATTAAAGGAATTTCATAAATTTGTAAACTCATCGCGACATAATTTTCAACACTAGAAATATTTCATAGAATATAAAACAGGAAATAGGAAATTTCGTAGAAAATATAAAACATTATTTTTTACACATGTTGCAAATCATATGCTTTTTTTAAATATAAATTTAAATAGTCACATACCAGAAAGTAAGCATACGACAATACCAATCAGGAACCCTGTTTGAATTTTGATAGAATACATTTTTACGATGCGGAATTATGTTACAATCTATGATAAAATGCGATATAATGGAGGAGCTACTTCTATATATATTGTTTTAGAGATTTTCCTTATTATCATGGCTAGATATAATTCCTTTAAACACGTAAGCGATGCTTGAAAATGTAATGAAATGTAAATCCTAGGACATGAACTCGCCTTATTAGAATACCTTATCTTTTTTAGACCTAATATTTCATCTTAATACTCATGTTGAATGTGAAAGATATTTAATCAGCGATTCTTTTGAATACCTGTCAAATACAATAGATTTTTTAGATCTTGAGGAAAGTATAAGTCGACATCTGATTGGAGCGAAAGTTTATTCAGAAGTGTTTTTGGTAAAATAAATCCTCAAAAATATCTAACTTTTAAAAATGAATTAGAAGTCCAGTTTCTATCTTAAAATATAAAAAGAACGCATCTAAATGCTGTAAGATTTCAAAAAATAATTTCAGGTATTTTTTAAATATAAATTAATCCAACTATTTCACGCTGAAATGTTATATTTTTTAAAATTGAAAAAAACAAGTAATTGAAAAAAACAAGTATCTGCCCGATAAAATCAAAATTTTTTTTATGAAATATCTATCTGAGCAAATAGAGCAAAATTTTTTTTTCTGTTCAGACATCATTTTCACATCCTGATTCAACATTGCTTCGTTTCAGACTTCATTTTAATTCCATATATGAAAGAACATTACTATTTTTTTCAGATCAATTGCTCAAGAGTATCAACTAAAAAAGATTTTTAAAATTAATACTACGTTTTAATTAATATATCAGTGTAGTTACAATTTAGTTTAAAGATAATATCCCTACTCTTTTCAAAATTAGTACAATTTTAATCATTTATTACTTTTATTAACATCTACCAGTTTGTTAAACTTTGTACTAGTTTCTTAAGGGGATATCATTTAAGAGACTTGGTATAAATTTGAGTGTTAATTTTATGTTTGAATTCACTATAAATCTGTAATTTAAAACCATTTTTATGATTGGAGACATCATAACTTAATATAAAAGAAATAAATAAAACGTGTTATAAATTTTACGAGCAAACCAGGTATTGGAAAGACATTCATCAATGAAGCCTACTTTTTCAATATTTATTTTATTTGATTTTGAAATAAAACTCATAAAATAATGAACGTTTTGACTTTGGTTGATGAGATATTTGCAAACTTTTAAGTTGAAAAATTATTTGCAAAGAATTGGGAACATATCATCAAAAACGCTATAAAAATTAAATTTTATTCTAAATAAAATTGAAGAAAATTTCTCTGATAGTCCTTTGACACAGATGGGATACCGGCGGCCTTTACACATATATTTTCTAGTGCTCTATTTATAGGCAAAAATATATTTGATATTTTTTAAACATAAAAACTGTCTAATAAATAGTAAAAAATATCTTAGATTATCAGAATTACATTTGCACTAAAATATAAAATTCACAAATTTTTTAAAAATTGATGTTCGGAAGTGAGTGGTGTTTGGAATATTTTACATTTACCGCAGAGAAATACACCAGTGATTCATGCTATATTTCCTAACCATAAATAATTAAAATGGTAAATATAATATTTTTCACTTATATTTGACCTTATTAATAAAAAAAAATGAAAATTATGTTCAATAAAAATTCCGCGTTAATGAAATTCTTATTCGGCAAACAAATTGTTACTTTGAAAAATACTCGTAAAATTCTGAAATTTGTAACCTAAAGAGATGGTATTTTTATAGGAAATATTTTAGTTTTAGCCTTTTAAAATGCAGACAATGAAATTTCTGAATTGGTCTTATTGCAAGGGCTCATCGTCTGCGGGATGTATATCGTGACACCAACGCATTAAGAAAAACAATTGTAGTTTTTGGTATTTTTATCGTAATTTCTTCAAAGGCAAAATTAATTTTATACGTGATTTGCGTATCTAGGAAAGTGTCTGTCACAAAAATTTAATTTGATTGATTGAATAATTTGATTTAATTTCATTAAATTCGTTTCAACTTTGTATAGGTATTTATATGAAGTTATTGAATTTACTGATTTAAATCGTGATTTAGATCATTTAATTTTTTGAAATATAACCTATGATTCAAGTAACTAAAAATAGAAAGGAATGATAGAGATAATATTTTACTCTTTTTAAGAGCTTTTAACTAGGGTGATCATGAAATATAATTTTACTAAAGGGATGAAACAGTTTAAAAATGTTTAAACGGACATATATCATATTTTCTTTTGTGCTGTGTGTTAACAATAAATATGAATTTTTTTAAAAGCAGTACAAGGATAAAATATAACTAAGTAAATCACAGTTAATGGATAATAATCTTATCTATCCTATATCTTTGCTCAAAAATATTTTCGACAAAAAATTTAAACGAGAAATAATTCATTTTATGTAACTAATTGATCAAAAATAAATTGCTTTTATTAAAGCAAAGGAACATGAAAGGAAAATGTTTATTTTAATTTTACCTTTCGGTTGCTGCATTATTTGACATAAAAAATCTGCATACAGTTTAGAATTTAAATAGGAAATATACAGGAAATTCTTAATGAAAACCTTATTATATTTCTTGGGGGGGGGGGCACCTTGACAAAAAATTAATTTTTTTTCAGATTCAAACGATGAAAAAAATTAGTTTAAATTTAGCAATTTACATTACTGTGACAGGCGAAACTGAAAATACCAAAGCCAGTTTGAATTTCATGAAACTTGAATGTGTTTCTAATAATCACATTTATATTTTATCCTGAAAATCTGAGATGTTTTGATGTATTTAGACCCATTTTCTCTAGAAGTAATTCGTTAAAATTCAAAAGCATTTAGAATTTTGCATTACATAAATATTAATTTGCCACCCATTTTATGCATATGTTTTACATTTTATTTTTAACAAAGATTCCAAAAATATGAGCATGTTACAATCAATGTAATTAATCGACGAATCTTAATTACCGCCGGATATTATTGACAGTTAAGTTTGGTCAATGTTTTAATTATCAAGGAATTTGGTTTGAGATTTCCAATACGCGTGCGTATTGGTAGTTCCCCCTCGTAAACAATTTGACAATGCTAGGTGCTTCGTTACTTTGGATGCAGATGCCCGTATTTTGTGTTCGTTACTCATTTGTTGAGCGAATACTTTGCTTTTTATTAATTTATTTTTTCTTCCCTAAGGCACCTAACTTTAAAAAAAAAAACATCAGTGTAGGGCATACCAGGCTAATGTATGCCAAGCGGGGGCCTTTGGTCTTAAAAAATTCAGTGTAGAGTATACTGGTATGTCTACGGGATTAGACTATGAGTGATGAGCAGAAGTGTTACAACTTAATTGTAACACCTTTTATTGATCAATTTCGTAACACTTTTAGTGATCATTTTCTTATTTGTAACACTTTTTCATGATCAATTTCGCAAGCTCCATGGAACACTTTTTTTTTGTAACGAGCACAACTTATTTATGCTTCCAACACTTTACCATCCTACCATCTAAGGGAAGGCAGAGACATCTAGGTCGGGGTGCACCTTGCAACCACCAGCCGCAGGAATGCAGAGACATCTACACACTGACACCACCTGGGTGATGGAGAGATGTGATGACCTTACTGATAGAAAGTGGCAACGTTTAAAAAGAAAGTTCTAGCCGGTTCTTTTTTGTGAAGCAGATGGGATAAGGAAGTGGTGAAGCTATGTGAGGGGGCTTCGGCCCCCAAGCAATTGATTTTTTCTCTTCTGTGAGATTTTTAACGTCGTGCCCTTTCAGTAGCAAGTGTTACATTTTCTTTTGATCGGATTTAATCCGAGAGACTATGCAGGAGAAACGTTTTTAATTACTTTATAATGATGGAGTTGTAGTAGCATGTGTTGCTAAGTGCTTAATTTTATTTAATTCCTTAATTTTGTTTTGCCAATAATGTCTTCAATAAATATGAGTATATTTGTGAGTATATTTTATTTGTCTCCTTTCTGGCGGGTTTAATGTTTTCTTTTTATTTCAGCCTTAACATATCTTGTTCTAATTATTTTTAACTTCTAGAGAATACTTTTTTCGCTATTTGTACTTCTACTTTTAATTCAGTTTTGTACCACCTCGTGTGGTATTAATTTTGTATATTCAAATATTCGTAGGTTACCATGTGGTACAATACTAATAATATTTTATTCATTATATTTAACTTTTAATACGGCTATTCTAAGATGCTATTTGTTTGCACAGCAATTTTGAGATTAATGAATTATGTTTTACATGTGCATTAATTTTAACTCAATTTTTACTCCAACTTCCTTAATTATTTTAATGTACGCATTCTGACGACATACAAGGGCAGTGATCAAGTATTTCTTTCTATTTGGCATGGTGGGCAGAGAGCCAATTGCATCAACCTTTAGTCTTGAGAATATTTCTTGTTACATTTTTAGGAGCCTTTTTTATCATTTTATCATAACATGTTTTATTATCTACAAATTTAGGTACTTTATTTACGTCGCATTAGAACTGCACAATGGGCTATTGGCGACAGTCTGGAAACATTCCTGGGTATAATCCGAAGACATACCATCGCAAATTTGATCTTCTGCAGAGGGGATGGCTCTCCTGCTTTGGTAGCTCAAATACCTGCCCTCGAAGTCGAGCACTTTAAGGTAAAACAGATTAACGAGGAACGAGACAGCTCACCCTCGGTCCCTACGCACGCTGATCAAAGTGGTCACTCACCCGCTGACTGACCGCAGCCAGTAATGCTTAACTCCGGTATTCTACTGGAAACCATGTCTTTACGATCAGTCCACTGCGGGACCTACAAGTTTAGAATTCGATAAATATTGGTGTATTAGCTGTTGAGAAGAACACAATACCACAACTAAAAATGATGAGTAGATAAGATGCGTTAGATGTTAAGGTGCATGCAATTGCTTCAAGATACTTATACCTATCCCAAAAATGGGAGTAATTTTTTTATTAAATGAGGGATTAAATCGAAGCGTTAGATTTTGTTTATTAGATTCTTTTTACTTATTTTTCTTGATATTATCATACTTTTTTAACTGAGCTCGACATTA